GTTTATGTAGAAAACTCAAGGAAGGGATCAATAACAATAAGAACAAAAAACTCCTAGAACTAATCATTGAGTGTAGTAAAGTAACAGACTATAAGTCAACAAACAAAACTCTAACATATTTGTTGTAGATGCTAGTAATATACAAATGAAAACCCAAATTTCAAAAACATTTACAGTATCTCCTCCCTGAAAATGAACACTTAGGAATAAATCTAACAAAATAGATAAACTACAAACAACACAAAATGCTGAAGGCTGAAATCAAAAAGGAGCTAAATGGAGAGATACTTAATGTTCTTGGATTGAAAGACTCAGGCAATTCCATTCAAAACCCTATCAGGAATCAGGAGACTAAGGCTGGAGGATCAAAAGTTCCAAGTCAGTCTAGCAACTGAGCAAAACCTTGTCTCAAAATAAAAAGGGCTAGGGATGTGCCTCAGTGAAAGAGCTCCATGGATTTAATTCTCAGTACTGCCAAAAAAAAGCTACAAGGATTTTTTCATAGATATTGCCTGGCTGATTCTAAACTTTATATAGAAAGATAAGGAAATAAAATAGCCAAAACAATTCTGAAAAGGAATAAAGTTGAAGGAATCATGCTAACCAATTGCAATATAAAGCTATAATAATCCAGGCAGTATGGTATTTTTAAAGGATCTACACATAGTTCAATGGAAAAGAGCATACAAAAACACATAAATATATAACAACTGATTTTTGAACAAAGGTGCAAAGAGAATTCACTGGGGAATGGATAGTCTTTTCAACAAATCATTTTGAAATAAATGAATAGCCACATACAAAAAAAATCACCTCCACCTAAACTTCATACCTTATACAAAGTTAACTTAAAACAGCCCACTGATTTAAATGTAAAACATAAAATCATAAAACTTTAGGACAAAAACAAAGGAAAGAATCCTTATGATTGGGTTTAAGGAAAGCATTCTGAGATATGATACCAAAAGCATGATCTACTAACATGATGATTAGACTTCATCAAAATTAAAAACTTCACTGCTTCAAAAGGTACCATCATGAAAGTGAAAAATAACCCACAGGACAATTTACAAATCATATACCAGATATTTGAGGTAATATATAAAGAACTTTAAATAATATGACAATCCAATTTGAAAATGGGCAAAGGGGCGGGTGTGGTGGTACATACTTGTAATCCCAAAAGCTCAGCTAAGGAAGGAGGAATGCAAGTTCAAAGCCAGCCTAACAACTTAGCAAGGACCTGTCTCAAAATTTAAAAATAAAATAAAAAGGGGGCTGTGATTCAGTGGTTAAGCACTCCTGGGTTGAATTGTTGGTATCAAAAAAAAAAAAAGGAAAACAAAAACAAAATGGGGCAAAGGATTTGAAAAAACATTTCTCCAGGGAAGATACACAAATGTTCAATAAGCGCAAGACTGACATAGGCTTTAGGGAAATGCAAATCAGAGATACCACAAAGAACTATCACTCTATATCCACCAGAATAACTAGATTCCAAGAGTCAAGTAAGTATTGGCAAGCATGTGAAGAAACTGGAATTCTGGTACACCACTGATGGGAATAAATGATGTAACTGCTTTGGAAAACAATCTAATGGTTCCTCAAATTATTAAACATAACCTGAAAATTCTATTCCATATAAAACACATATGCACATAAAAACCTCTACACAGATGTTTATAGCAGCAATATAAAGCACAGATAAAAGATGGAACACCCCCAAACACCCATCAATTTACAAATGAATTAACAAAGTATGATAGAGCCATGCAATGGAACATTCAGACATAAAAATGAAATACTGATATATGCTAGAACACAGATGAACCTCTAAAACGCTGTTGTAAAATAATCCAGTAACCAAAATCCACATATTATTTGATCCCACATATATGAAATGTTTAGAACAGAGAAATCTATGCAACAGAAAATAAATTAGAGAGGGGGTAGAGAAAGAAGAGGGGAGGGGAGGGGAGGGGGGATAGTAGAGAATAGGATAGACAGCAGAATACATCAGACACTAGAATGGCATTATGTAAATCAATGGAAGTGTAACTGATGTGATACAGCAATCTGTATACGGGGTAAAAATGGGAGTTCATAACCCACTTGAATCAAACTGTGAAATATGATATATTAAGAACTATGTAATGTTTTGAACGACCAACAATAAAAAAATTAAAAAAAAAAAAGAAAATAAATTAGTGGTTGCTTGGCTGGTGAGGCAGGAAGAGATGACTGCTAAAGTGTACAAGGTTTGGGGGGACTGGGATTGTAGCTCAGTGGCAGAGCGCTTGCCCAGCACGTGTGAGGCACTGGGTTCAACTCTTAGCACCACATATAAATAAATAAAATAAAGGTCCGTCAACAACTAAAATTTTTTTTTAAAAAAAAGCGTACAAGGATTTTATTTCAAATGACAATATTCTAAAATTGACTATGGTAATGGTTATATATACTGTGCATATTGAGTTATATACTTTCGTTGAAATGTATGTGAATTATGTCAATAAAAGCTATTTCTAAAAAATTAAGTGATCCCATTTATAATTTAAATGCATACCTTTTTTGATACTGGGGATTGAACCCAGGAGTGCCTTACCACTGAGCTATATTCCCATCCCTTTTTATTTTGAAACAAGAATCATGCTAAGTTGCTGAGACTGACCTAAAACTTGTGTTCTTCCTGCCTTGGCCTCCCAAGTTGCTGGGATTACAGGCATGCAGTACTATGCCTGGCTATATTATATATTCTTGAGAAGACAAAAATGTATAGATCAGTGGTTTACAAAGTTTAGAGATTGGGAGGTATGGGGTGACTACAAAGATAGCATAGGGGTATTTTTAGTGATTGAACTGTTTTAGGGTGATTACGAAGTTGTTCACATGTATCTATACATGTGCTAAATTTCACTGAATTATACCCCAGAAAGTTAAAATTTTCCTATAAAACTAAATGCCAAAAAGAAACCAATTAAAAGAACAACTCATTCCTGAAATTACTAGGTAAAATGAACAAAGTAGGCATCAGAGGAGGACAGGCTACAGTGATCCAGAGTTAAGTATTGGGGTTCAGAGATGATGAGGAGGATGTCCCTGCTCAGCATAGAATATTAGATCTCCCTGTGAGATGACCTATGACAGGTAGTCAAACAGATTAAGTATAATAGGAATGAGAATTCTTACAGCTATGGGAGTTTTAAAGATAAAAAGAGATAAAAGTAAAATGAACCTGATGAGATTTGGATTCAAAGTTTAGGTGTGAAGTCATATGGTTTTACATATAATTTTATATATAGATATACACACAGATGTACTACACATATTTTATACAAACTAACAGTAATTACTTACACACAGATCATAGTTTTGTGTATGTGGTGCTGGGGACTAAACTCAGGTCTTTGAACATGCTAGGCAAGTGCTCTACTAATGAGCTATACCCCCAGCTTCTTAAAAATACCCTTATTCACTAAAGAGAACATGGGTTCCTTGGAAAAATGGCTGATTCTTGGGCTGGGGCAGGGAATGTGTAATTAGCCTGGTGTATATTAGATCAGAGTAAGAAATCACTCAAATAATCATGGGAATATGTTAAAAGGACAACAGAAGTCACCTAGCATGTGTATTTTACTGGCCAATAATTTAATTTTATGAATTTAAAACATCAAAGTAATAAAAATAATAGATTTTCACCCACCAAGTAAGACATTGATTCGACAGATATGAATTTAAAATTTGACTAGAAACATGGTAGTACTTTTAAATTACCTTCTCCCAAAATAATTCATCTTAAAAGGAGGTACTTTATAGTGAAGTATGGCAGCCACTATCTTATTCAGTGATCTAAGTAACACTATCTTAAGTAGGACAAATTGAAATCACTAATCTATGATAGAATAAAATAAGATCACTTCTATAACATTCTTGACAATAATTCACAACTTGAATTTCATCATGAAAAAATATCAGAGACACTGGGGATGTACCTCAGTGCTAGAGTGTTTGCCTAGCATGCTTTAAGGCCATGGGTTTGATCTCCAACATCACAAATAAATAATTAAATATACAAAAGGAATATCACATAAAGCTAGAATGTAATCTTTGAAAATGCCAAAGTTTTGAAAGCCAAGGGGGGTTAAAAACAAAACACAAAAATAACTTGTTCCAGACTGACATCTACAGGCAGGTCATGATTGTGAAAGAGTTTTCTTGTTATGACAGACATTATTGGGACTATCAGTTTACTGTGATTAGAGGGAATATCTGAGAAACAGATGGTAGTAATATGTCACCATAAATTTCCTAATTTTAATGGTTGGGTTATAGTTATGAAAGTGAATGTCCTTTTCTGCAGCAAATACACAGTAAAGTACTAAAGTGAATTATCTCTTAAATTTATTTACAAATGGCTCAGGAAGAAAGAAATTTTGTGTACTTTACTTTGTAACTTTGCTATACATTTGAGATTCCTTAAAAAAAAAATTAAAAAGGATACAGGATGAAATGAAATCTCGACAATTCCTATATATAGCCAGGGGCAGTGGTGCACACCTGTAAATACCAGCAATTCAAGAAGTTGAGGCAGGAGGATTAAAGGTTTGAGGCTGCCTAGGCAAATTAGTGAAATCTTGTCTTATGGGGTAAACAATGGGCTATGGATGTAGCTCAGCAGAACACACCCCTGTGTTAAATTCCCATTACTAGAAACAAGAAACGACAAAAATCCCTGTCTATATTTCTGAATCACTAGGAGAAAAATAATGCCTCTGCTTTATAGTGACCTAAATTTGCATTCTGCTACTACAAACGACATGCCCAATAACCGCATTCACTTAGCTGCTTCTCTGTTGTATTAATACTTCTCATTTGTAGTAATTATTAGTTTTTTTTACTTTTTTAATTTCTTGACATAAAGTAATCCCTTAAGAAATAATATTATAATTAAGAAATTTACATTAACTCTTTTAATATTGTTACCCAAAATACTTTTGTGGAATTTTTGTTAATTTTTTTTTTTTTTTTTTTTTAGTACTTATGTGAATTAATGTACTTAGATGAAGGGGCATACGATCCTCTTTCTGAAAAAGTTTATTGAACTTTATTCCTGCATCACACTTATCAAAAGAAAAACTTAATTTTCTCTGAAGGCACCCTTTCATTTAATATGATCTGCACCCCAATGTTTTTTATAGTAAAAATGCATTTAAATATGAAACTGATAAAATGTAGCGTATAAAACTCCATGCTGAGCAAAAATAAGTCCAAAAAAATTGCCATATGTTCGTTCACAGACAGTTCCCACTGTACGTTTCTTATGTAAATCATATTTGAATGCAATTTTTAGAACCATATTTAAATGTATTTTGCAATTTAACTTCAAGCATCCATATTTTTCTTCTAGCACATAATCTGTTCCTTTAAGTTGGCAACATCAGCTAGGATCCACAGAATGTAGCAAAAAAAAAAAAAAGAAAAGCAGTTATTTCTCAAGGTTTGAGAAATCTGGTCCACCTTTACTGTAGTTTCCTGAGATTTCTGCTCCACTGAAGTCAAAACCAGGATTCTAAAAGACATGAAAAAAATGTATTATATAAAACTTAAACTAGGAAAAAGATAAGTATGAACTAGTAATTGATTAAAAAAATGAGATCTAAATGGACAAAAACTGAAAAGATACCAAACCTCATTGTAATCACCAAAATAAAATTTAAAACAATGAAGTATTTTTCAAGTTTACAATTTATAGATATTTAGATTGATATGTATAGTACTGCACTGACAAGCTTATAAAGAAACATATTTGAATATCAATACGTAAACCGATTTTAAAAGCTATCTTGAAAGCTTACTGTATTGCCATGCAGGGTTCTGTAAATATATATCAACACATTTAACTCTCACAGCAATTCTATAAAATACATACCACCTCAGGCTTTCATCTTTTCATTAGGCAATTTCATTTATTTAACAAATTTACTGAATTACTACTGTTTGAAAGACACTATTAAAGGCATGTGAAATTCGAGAGTGAACAAAGATTCCTGCTCTAGTGGCGTTTCCATTGTAGAAGAGATCAACAAACCATGTATTATTGAATACAAGGGTTGGTAAATATTTCAGGCTTTGCAGACAACACAAGTATACACAAATATACAACTTTCACAAGTATACAACTATATGAAATTGCTGCATGCAAGATAATACACAAACAAATGAGCATGATGTCTAGTAGTAACTTTACTTAAAAACTAGGCATTGGGCTGAATTTGGCCCACAAGCCACAGTTTGCCAGTCACTGGTCTAGTTCGTTAAAAGCTGGTTAAATGCCATAAAAAGAGAAAAAAAAAATAGGATAGGATAGGGTAAGGGAACGGGAGAAATCTACAGTACTAAATGGGATGATTATCAACATATGCTTCATCGAGCAATGATTTGAAAACAATGCAGAAGTTAGCTAAACTATGGAAAAAGAGTATTCAAAGTCAGGACAACTAAAGAAAAGGCTACTGTTTAATAGTAGTGAACAGTTGGAGTAGAAGGACTGAGGGGGGCAGCAAAAAGAGAAGAGAAGGTTGGGGAGATAATAGAGTAACTGATTAGATTAATCCAGTAAGAGAAGCAACTTGCAGAGTTATGAGAAATTGTATGATCCAATTTGCATTTTAAAAGGACTTCTCCAACTGCTATTTTGAGAAGACAGCCTGGGCAAGGTAGAAGAAAGGAGGCCAGTTAGAAAATTATTGAAGTAATCCAGGTAATATATTTGAGATGGTACACAGCAGAGTTGTAGTAGCGCTGGTAGTGATAAGTGGTTAAATTCTGAATACATCTGGAAGATAGTTCTAATAAGACTCCCTAACAAACTGGAAAGGTCATGAGAAAGAAGATAGGAATCAAAGAGGATTCCCAAGTTTTCTGACCTATGCAACTAATTTCCATTAACTGATTTAACTTTTTTTTTTTTTTTTTTTTTTGCAATGCTGGGAACTGAACCTTGGGCCTCATACATGCTAGGCAGTGCTCTACTACTGAGCAAAATCCCTAGACCCAATTGCGTTTAACAAGATGAGAAGGATGAAGGTCAAATAAATTTATTTATGGAGGAAATTAGATTACTAATTTGGACATGATGAGTTTGGTACTTCTGTCAGATAGTCAAATGGAGATGCTGAACAGGTAATTGAATATGCAGATCCAAAGTTCAGAAGAAAAGTCTAGGCTAGATATATGTATTTGGAAATCATCATATAAAAAGAATTATTCATCAAAAATTTTTAAAAGTGCTTTGACTCAGTAATTCCTCTCCTAGATATCTGTCTCAAAGATATGTTTCTTGGAACATTCAAGTAGTTTTACAGAGACGGAAACATAAGCTCTGCTTAAAATAGAGGAAAATGGAGAAATCCAAATATTACCAAAGAGAAATAGCCAAATAAATAATTAATAGACCCAAACTAGGAAATGCTCTGAAGCAAATTAAAAGAACTGAATTTTATCCATATGTACTATTAGGGAAAGATATCCAAGATACACTATTAAATGAGAAGACAACATGAAAAACAACACAGCATGGAACCCAATGGATCACTTAAAATAGCTCCATTATATGATATACAAACTACACCTCAGTAAATATGAGAAAGAGTACACAGCAGAATGATGATTAAAAACTCACTTTTTTCATCTCAAACATCAGTGGAACAGGTTGTCTTTCAAGCAGTTTTCCTTTCCATCATGGATATTTTCATAATGCCTCAGAGAGGTATGAGTATCTCTGCCTCTCAAATCTAATGTATTTAATATACTCTATTCACTAACTAAAATCTTGCTTTGCCTTTTGCATTCTCTCTTGATTTGATACCACTCCTTTTAGCAATTTGCTATATAAATATTTTGCATTATGAATTCAATCAACGGACCATGGCCAGATGACTAATAAACTCTCAATGTTAAAAACAACAACAATAATACAGTGTGAACCTCCACTTAAACTAAAAATGAAACAAACAGAAATGCCAAAATATAAGATGAAAATGAGACATGAAACAAATGAGGGAATGATGGTGAAGGGACCTTATACATTTTTATGCCACATATGTATCCTAATACTAACTTTGTAAGAATTTATTACTTGGGGCTGGGGTTGTGGCTCAATGGTAGAGCACTTGACTGGCAAGCGTGAAAAAATGGGTTCGATCCTCAACACCACATAAAAATGAATAAATAAGATAAAGGTATCATGTCCATCTACAATGAAAAAATATTAAAAAAAAGAATTCATTACTCACGATTTACTGATGTACATTAAGTAAATTTAAACTCAAAATCATAGCAATACAAATAAAATTTTCAAGAAAATTTTAAAAAATTATAAAAGCAAATTTTCTAATCATTTACCTTAAAAATTACATTAATTTTTATTACCTTTCATAAACACATTGAGTTTTAATGTCAAATAATAATTATTCTCTTATTTTTAGATATTTAACCATACACCTTCATAAAGTCATCTGACTTACTTCTTTTTGGAATCTCTCTAATGTAAGTTTTCTCTGCATTTGGTCTTGTACCCAAGGATCAGCTGCATATTCAGATTCCAGAAGAGAAGTCCAACAATTTGCCGCATCTCTCTTTGTCTTTGTGAGAACAATACGAACCATTTTTCTATCCTCTAAAGAAAACAATTACAAAAATACTAGAGTTTATTAAGTTTTATATATTCCTAAAAACATTAGATAATTTTTGCATATAACTGTTCTCAAAGTATTTCTATATTCTCCAAAGCTCTGAAGACAAAGGACTTAAGGGGAAAGATATTAAGTTCCAACAAAAAATTAATTTTAACAAAGATTCTATGAATTCTAAAAGATTATCCTTACCCAAAGTCCACGTTCCCTCATCAGCTATTGTAGAATCAAAGAGTTTGCCCTGAAAAATAAATATGTTACTAAATATAGAGTTTTACATTAGTTTTACAAAGCATTCATTAAGACTTAGCTAATTTCAAACTGAACACATCTTATACCATTTCACTACATTTATGTGCTCAACCTTAAGTTTCCTTCCAAGGTTAAATGAAATCTAGGTTATAGAAATATTTACTATGACAAGCAACACAGAATTCCCTAAAGGAAGACCAGGGCCCTTGAATATTTATTTATTTATTGTGGTACTGGGGATTAGAACATAAAGGTACTCTACCCATGAGCTATATTCCCAGCCATTTATACTTTGCGTTTTATTTTGAGACAGGGTCTTGCTAAATTGTTGAAGCTGGCTTCAAACTTGCCATCCTTCTGCCTCATCCTCCTGAGTCACTGAGATTACAGGTATGCCCCATTGTGCCCAGACTTAACTTTTTAGAAGATGAAGAAGTACTACTGATCACTAATTGGCCAAATGTAAAATTTATATATTAAATGCTTTAATTTTACTAATCAAATTTAAGAGTACAAAAAGGGATTTCCTGCTTAAAAAAATGGTTTAAAATAAACATAAATAAACATAAAAACTGGATCAATCTCTTCGCTGACATGTTGGCATTAAAAACAAAAACCTTAAAGCATATACGGTAGCTCATGACACAGTGCTCTAATTTTTCACAAAACCTTGTGTCAATAAAAAAAAGCAAAACATAAATTTAGATGAAAATGGCCATGCTCAAACACATACTTTTAAGTTATAGTAATTGAAATTAAAATGTTACTTTTAAAAAATCATTTAGCCAGGTATAATGACTAATGGCTGAAATCCCAGCAACTCAAGAAAACTCAGGCAGAAGGATCCAAGTACAAGGTCAGCCTCAGCAACTCGGGGAGACTCTGTCTCCAAATAAAAAAATAAAAAGGTGCTGGGAATTTTAATTATTCTGGAAAGTAGGAACTGTACAGATATTCAGAAAGCTCATTAAGATCCAAGAGGACATAAATCAATGTCTTTTGCACAAATCATCCCAGGCACTCAAGACGCTTCTATAGAAAATAATTGTAACAGATGAGCAGTGTGAGACAATAACATACCATGCACTCTGCAAGCTCTTCAAACACATGGATACCATACTTTGATCAAAACAATCCTAAGAAAGGTTCTATAATTACCACACCTTGCATATAAATGCGGTCTTTAGAACTTTGAATAACTTTTTGACTAAGGTTAAAAAACTAGAAAACTGGCACAGAAGGGTATCCTACCAAGTAGTCTCCCTTCACCTCCACACTACAAGATAACCAAACATCTTGGGATTCTAATCTAGGAACAAAATTTAATTTCAAATTGTTATGTGAACTTTGACTGCTTTGGGTTTAGCAACGAAAAAAGCAGGTCCAGACCCAAAGGGCATCGATGAGAAGAAATGGGCGCTAATTATTTTTTCTACTCCTCTTCACAATTGGCTTGACCACTTTGCAAACAGGTAGGGTGTGTCTAATTCCAGACGACGAGTCACCTGACGCTATCTCTTAATTCTCACCCTGTTATACCGTCCCTTCCATGTTGTGCTTTCCCATACCAGCCTACATATTTACTAGGAACGTAACCCGCTCTGCAGCAGGAGGATTTTATCGGTCTTTCATTTCCAAACCTAGATCAGTGCCCGGAAAAGAGAGTATGTAGGATCAATGCTTGTCCCTTTAACGACCTAGTTAACCTGTTCTCCGCACGACCTCTGGAGTAATCGCAAGCAGAAGCCTGACTTTTGGGGGAAAATTAAACAGTATAATGCAATCTCGAAATTTCCACAATTCAAGGTTTGCCCTAAGAATGGGTGCTCTGAATAGAGCAAACACAGGCCAATTTCACCCCTTTCCCAGGCTGCCAGAGAGAGGAGCCGACCTGCCCACCAACAACCACTCCTCGGGAACGGCGGGCTTTAGGGCCCCGGGGCTCCGGAAGTCTATGGAAGGAGAACGTCCGCCCGACTAGCCGCTACCTTGAGGATCTCGCGGCCGCCTACGGCCAGGGCCACGTGCCGGCTCTGCAGACCGCACTGGATATCCTGAGCTCGAGTGCCCGGTGGCACCTGCACTTCAATGAACACCTCCTCCAGAGTCTGGTACCACTGGCCCCAGGGCGTCCCGCACGGAACTACCCCACTGCGCTCCTCAAAAGGGGCTGACATGCTCTCGCCGCCGGCCAGCACTGTCGCACCGAGCCACCCGAGCGCAGGCGCCAAATCCCCACGCTCCGGTTCCGCCTCGGGTCACTGCACATGCGCAGGGGCGCAAGGTGGTGACTCCCTGTGTGCCCTTTTTTCCCTCTCAAGGGCCATTTAAGGCACTGAGAGGAACCGGTTTAAAAGAACTGAAATCAAGGGAAGGGACAGAACGGTGGGAGAAGTTTGGAACCAGTGATGTAGGAATTCATTACCCCCTCACTTATGTGACGCCAAAATGCAACCTTAACTTTCCAGTTTGAAGTGCGCTTGCGCAAATGTTGCTAGCGTTTAGGCTGCAAGTGAGCAACCGCAAAAGTGATTGGGCTTGGAAGCAGCGAACAAAACCAGCCTCCCATTGGCTGGGAGCCTCAATATACAGGCTTTCTAATTGGATGCGGCAAGGAGCTAGTGCGCATGTTCCTTTGGTGTTTCTTTGCTTGATTGGTCTGCCCCGGGGTTTTGGTTTTCTCCAATTGGCTAATATGCTGGTGGGCGGGGACTCTTCGGGAATATTTGAATTCAAACGAGTAGCTGTCGGCAAACGCTGAGGAGATTTAGCTTCGTTTGGGAAGCCGGCTGTCAGCATGTCTTTTCCTAAGGCGCCGCTGAAGCGATTCAATGATCCTTCAGGTGTGTACGTCGGAAGGTGCGGGTTGGCGGCGGAGGGACGGGAGATGCCCTTACGCTTCTCGCCCTTTTTGGTACCCTTCACCCGGGAGAACCTGAAGCGGCTTTAGGGAGGGCCGGGGCTCCCTGTTTTTTATTTTCCCATAAACGTTTGTGACACACGCCAAGCATGTTAAGGATGCGAATGACACAATGGTCAGTGAAACAATGTCCCTGCCCCGAGGACCTTTCCTTCTGACGGGGAGGAATATTCCTAAGCAGCGCGACGAGGAATGCTTGGGGCGAAGGGAACAGGGTGGGAGGCGTTCGTCTCCCAAGGTCCTGAGGTAGTGTCAAACACTCCTGCCTTGTCCTCAGCTTCCCTGTCTGGGAAGTCAGGCGCTGGGTAAAAGCCTTCCTGCCTCCATCGTCACCTCATGGGCTCGGACCCAGAAATCTCTTAGAATTATTAAATCAGTTGAGCAAAGTAGCTGGATATAAAATCAACACCCATAAATCAAAGGCATTTCTCTACATAAGTGACAAATCCTCAAGAAACTAGGAAAACCACCCTATTGACAATATATTTTATATTTCTACACACAGAATTAAAACAAATTCTAGGAAAAAAATGCCTAACTTTGTTGTTTATGAGGTACACTGATATTTTCTATTATGTTTTACTTTTTTAAATGCTAGTTGAATCTACTAATGAGTGCTTATCTACTATTTGAAAAATATGTTAGGGACAGTAGTAGTTGCTTGGAATGGTCAATGTTCTTTGATATTCCCTTTTTATTTACATGAGAATCTAAACAAGTAAATAGCTTTTTAGAGAATATATCTAACCTGTTGATTTCAAATCAGCTAAAGCTTTATGCTAATACTTAAATCCTGAGAGGGATCCCATCTCAACTCTGCTACCTGTAAGCACCCTGAAATTCCTCAAAATTTGGGACTCCAGTTAAATGAGGTTACACAGTATGAACTTTTTGAAAGTAAAACTATAGTATAGTTCATATTTCATATAATATGACTATACATTTCTAGAGCCTCAATTTCTTTATCTATAAATTAACGTAAAGTTTTTGTAAGGATTGAATAAAATAATATCCCTAACCTGTTTAGCACAATGGCGGCATTTAGTAAATACTAAAAATTTCTACTTGTTATTAGTGCAATTGCTTTCTGTCTCTGCATTCCAATTGTAGTTGATATCATCTATACATGTTGATATAAGCCAGATATTTATTATTACTCTAAATTTTTATTACAGACTCTTTTTTTAAAATTTTTAAATTTGTTTTAATTTGTTATACATGACAGTAGAATGCATTTATGCACTTTTGATATACATAGATGGGATATAATTTCTCATTTTTCTGAGTGTATATGTTGTAGAATCATATTGGTCATGTAGTCACATACACACACACACACACACACACACACACACACAATAATGTCTGTTTCATTCTACTATCTTTCCTATCCCCAAATCCCCTCCCCTCCCCTCCTATCACTTCCATCTACCTAATCTAAGGAAATGCTGTTCTTCTCTAGTGCCCCTGCCTTTTTGTGAATTAGCATTCGCATATTAGAGAACACATTTGGCCTTTGGTTTTGTGGGATTGGCTTATTTCGCTTAGCATGATATTCTCCAGCTCCAACTATTTACTGGCAAATGCCATAATTTTACTCTTTTACTATTTTTCTTCTTTAAAGCTGAGTAGTATTCCATTAAGTATATATACTAAGGCTAGGTCATTTTAGTTATGATTCCTAGAATCCCATGGTATTTATCTTAGTGACTCTATTTGAAGACAGTTGATACCAAATATTTTATTTTGTATATTTAGTTCTTAACAACAAAATTATGGGCTGGATTCAGGGGCACATGCCTGTTGTAATCCCAGTTACTTATAAGGTTGAGGTAACAGCATCATTAATATACAGTATATATTAATGTATGTGTATAAGTTGTCAGCCTGGGCAACTTAGTGAGACTGTCTTTAAAAAAAAGGGGGGGGACTGTCTTGTTGTTGTTGTTGTTGTTGATGGACACAATACCTTTATTTTATTTATTTTGTGTGGTGCAAAGGATTGAACCCAGAGCCTCGCACGCGCTAGGCGAGCACTCTACCACTGACCCACAATCCCAGCCCCAGGGGAGGCTTTCTTTAAAAGTGTGTGGGGGGTGGGTGCTGAGGATGTAGCTCAGTGGTACTGCAAAAAATAAGAACAACAAAATCATATGATTTTTGTTCCTTTGACCCAGTCTATAGAAAATAGGATATTGTTCTTCATCATTTCAAATAGGTGCTATTGTTACACTTACAGAAACAAAGAATCCAATTATAAATGGCATTTTTACACTTATATTCACATTATCATGACATAGTTTTAACTTAACATCATAAATAATATTATATAATACATTGATACTTTGTGTTTTCTAGGCTGTGCACCATCTCCAGGTGCTTATGATGTTAACACTTCAGAAATATCTAAAGGACCGGTATCCTTTCAGAAATCACAGAGATTTAAAAAACAAAAAGGTAATGGGCCCCAAAATAAAACCATGGTTATATTATTTTATAAGTTTTAAAGTTATAAGTGACAATATTTAAATTTAAAGTTGCTGTTGCATCTCAAAAGATATAAAACTAGAATTATATTTACACTTTCTTGGTGGATTTATGAAAGGATCAGATACAAAGTAATGCTTTCATTATCATACTGTATATTAAGCAATATACTCATAGATATGTAATTTTCTCTTTGGTTATTTCCTTAACCTCTCTCTTGGAGAATATTAGGAAAATGAGAAAGGTTTTTAGATGTATAAATATTGTACAATTAATTATTTAGAAATATATTATCAAGAAAAGAATAACTTTATATTGCTGTGTTTTTAGTTGCAGTAATATAGAAATTGTGTTTTGTGTGGTAGAAACATGTAAATACTAACTATGATTGGTACAATTCATTTTTCTGCAGAATCTCAACAAAATCTTAGTGTTGACAAAGATAGTACCATGCCTTCTTCAGCTAAAAAAGCTAAGACTTTGAGATTAAAGGTGAGGAGCTTTTACTGCCATCTGGCTTATCAATTATCATTGAAAACATATCCAAAGGGTATTATATATAATTAGAATGAGTTATAAGTATAAATCAAAATTATAATTAAATCTGTAAATAGATGGAATAAGTTATCATTAGGACTCTTTCAAGTTTTATATTCTTCCTAGGACTTTACTAAATCTATATTTAAATGTGTCCTTAGTTCACAATTACAAAATGATTACTATTTTTCTGTCATTTCTATATCTAGATAAATTTTTCTTATAAATCTATACAAACTATATGATACTTTCTTTAATTACTGCCACTGAATTGTATAGGTTTTTTTTTTTGTAGTATTTTGAGAAAACTATAGTTCTAACCACACAAGTATGTGTAGAACTCCCAAATAATAGACTTTCTAATACAAAATAATATCAGTTTAAAAAATTAATAAAACATGAGATTGGTGTGCCTTCCCCTCAATGTAGAAACAAATAAACAGGTTTTATTTAAGATGTTTTCTTCCATTTTTAGATGGCAAAAATCAATACTGTTTCTAGCTATTACATCAGAAAAGCTGTTGTATATAAAAAGATATAGTGTGAAATTGTGTGTCTTGGGATAAAGGTAATGAGAAAATCAGATTTTTTTTTTTTTTGTACAGGGGATTGAACTCAGCGGCTTAAGGACTAAGTCACATCCCCATCCCTTTTCTGTATTTTATTTAGAGACAGGGTCTCACTGAGTTGCTTAGCACCTCACTGTTGCTGAGGCTGGCTTTGAACTCATGATCCTCCTGCTTCAGCCTCCCAAGCCATTGAGATTACAATTGTGCGTCACCACGCCTGGCCTTAGAATCAGATTTTACTGTTTACATTTTTCTGTTATTTCTCTGGAATTGCATATTTGAAGTTTAAGTTGATTTTAAAAGATTTTTTTCTGTATGAGATTGGATAATCAAAATGTGTTGTTGCTATTTAACATTAGAAGATAGGTAGTCAGTAGTTTATCCATAAACTTCCATTTATCCTGCCCCACACCACCCTCAACGGGACTTCATAGAAATAGCTATTGGCCTATTGGGTTGAAAACTTAAACCTCAAGTATTTTGAGATATTTGGGGAGCGGGGGTACCAGGGAATGAAGTCAGGGGCACTTGACCACTAAGCCACATCTCCAGCCCTGTTTTGTATTTTATTTTATTTTGTATTGTATTTTTGCTTAGTGTCTTGCTTTTGCTGAGTCTGGCAAACTCCTGATCCTCCTGCCTCAGCTTCCTGAGCCACTAGGATTACAGGTGTGCCCCACCATTCATGGCTTATTTTGAGATTTTAAGAAGCTTTCCTTCACTTAACCAAATAAGTGATCTACAAAATATTTCACAGACTCGGTGAACTCTTTAAAATAGAAATTAACTATTTGGAAAACCCTTAATTTTTTCAGATAGCTAAAAATCAAATTTTACGTGATATTTCTTGTGCTTAAGTTTGATTATAATTATTCTTTGGCTTTTAAACAGAAAGAATCTCAAAAGAATGATAAAGATTTGAAGAGACTAGAAAAAGAGGTGAGCAATACTTTTATTGAAAAGTAAATATGCTGTATTATGGAAAAAGGATCACATACAACTGAGAAACTAAGATTCTGTTGTAGTTTGGGCAATCTGTGTCCATTTATTAAAATTACAATATATGGACAGATGAGTGGGTCAAATATTTATAGTGTATACTCTTCCTGTATGACATTCTTTGTTAAGACAACATAGCTAGAGAATTAACATGTTGAGCATACAATTCTAACAGGTTAGATGGACTGTGATGAAGTTATGCTAACTGTACTGTCCAATATTGTAGATGCTCACCACATCTGGCTATTTTTGGCTTTTTTTTTTTTTTTTTTGGAAGTGGTAGGTGTATACTGGGGATGTAACCCAGAGACATTTTGCCACTGAGCTAAATCCCCAGCCCAGGGTCTCATTAAGTTTCTGAGGCTGTCCTCAAATTTGCAATCCTCCTATCTCTGTCTCTCAAGTTGCTAGGATTATATGTGTGCACCCCTGTGCCCAGCACATGTGGTTGTTTTTAAATTAATCCTGTTTTTAAATTAATCCTTAGTTCCTCAGTTGTATTAATCACATTTTAACTGCTCAGTTGCCTCTACTGGGCAGTGCATTTATAACATGGCAGGCATTTGTATGTGCAGTGTTGACCTAAAGAACTCACTTATCTTTCACAATACTAAATTGCTCACTGTACTCTTTGCTTCTCTGCCAGTCTTTTCCGTACTTCCATGACTATCCAGAATGTGGTGGACATGTTCTTTTGCTATATTAAGACTTTCCATTTAATCACAGTCAAATGATATCTTAGAACCAAGAATATACCAAAATAATTGTGAATCTTTGTTCTGGTTGCTTTGATCTCTTTATATTTAATAATACTGATTGTCATTTTATTGAGGGTACATGTCAATGAGGATACATGCAATTGATACTTAACATCTAAAAACTGAGTCACAGTGAACTAATTGGTGAGTGAGTGGTAGTGTCAGGATCAGAACTGATAGCTTGCATAAATTATTTCATTTGGTATAGAATTTTAGGTGCAAAGATTTTCCCCGATCATTTTAAAGTTGTAGGATTTCCTTGTCTCTGGCTTCTACATTTCTGTTGACATATATTAAGGCTTTTGGGGTCTTTTCTTATTTTGTTTTGTTTAATCTACTAGTTAGTAACGGCAAGAGTTATGGCTGATGCCTACTACATTGTACTTGACAGCCTAGTTCTGCCTTCTCAAAATAAGAAAGAGTCCCCATCTCAAACTATAATTAATATTTGTGTAATCAGAACTAGAAAAGAAGAGCTGTAATAGGTAGAAATACTTTTTTAAAGTGAATAGACAGCTTAATTGAATTTGGAAATTTATGATAAAGTTCTTCAGTTCTTAAGATGCATGCAGATTTTTAAGATTTACAATAAGGTAAATATTATTATTCAAATAACTGATAAAATAAGAATATCTATGAGAGCATGGTGTCAAAACTCATGGTTTTTCTAGAAGCTTTAATGCTTTTGTTACCAGTAGCATTTATTTACATTGGTATTTTATTAGCGAATTATTCATTTATGATCTTGTTTTCTCCAGATTCGTGTCCTTGTCCAGGAGCGTGGTGTTCAAGACAAGAAGATCCAGGATATGGAAAATGAGTTGGAGAAGATGGAAGCAAAGTTAAATGTTGTAGTCAGGGAAAAAACATCTCTCTCTGCAAACAATGCTTCACTGGAAAAACAGCTTATTGACTTAACTAGAACTAATGAACTACTAAAATCTAAGGTATTTGAACCTCATGATAACACTTAAAATCAAATAAATAATAAGCATGTTGAGAAAACTCATTTCTCTTGTTTGGGAATTGGAGGCTCTGTTTGAGCCCTTTTCTTTCTCTGAATGTACCTTAAATATTAATACTTCAAGTAACTAGTGTTTCTCTTTTTTATTAGGTTGTCTGGCACATGAGTGGTTATAAACAAACAAGTTACTTTTTGTTTTAATGTCTTCACATTTTCTCACCTCTCATAATCAGCCCCAATTAACATCATCAATAAAAATCACAGACTTTACATTTTGACCTCATTTTAAAGATCTTTCTCTGAAATACATAATAGCATAGCAGCATGCTTCTATCTTTAATCCTTATGGGAATAAAGTGGGAAATGAATTAATAGAATAAGTAATGTTCAATAAATAATCTGCATTTATCAATATTAATGTACTCATGATCTTAAAGAGCTGAACATAGTCCTCATATGCTTGTTATAGAAGTTGAGGGAGGATGTAAATATGTGTTCAGTTTAATAAGAGTCACTAATTCAGAGCCTGTAATGTTCAGGGCTCTTTTCACTTAGAGAGTCAAAGTGCGTTAGACTCAAGCATGGGGAAGGGAGCAGTAACCTGGGCCATTCCCAGGAGCCTTCTTATTTAGTACGCTGGGGATGGAACCGGTATTCTGCATATTTCAGATTTACCAGGTGATTAGTTTTAGTAAGCCAACACATTTCAGTAAATTCTCTTGAAGAGGCAATTTTAGAGGTTTGCTGTGGATTTTACAGCATATAAATGTAAGTAACCACCCAGAGGGTTTCAGAAATAAAACAGAAAGTCACATTAAGGAAAGAAAAGGACAAAAACAGTATGGAATCAGTAATTATGTTGATCAAAAGCTATTTTCTCTACCAAAGTATAGTATAGGCAAATAATAGCTACAATGATAGGTAGAATGATCAGTATTTAAATGATTTTATATTTGGCATAGCAGAAAATATTTCTGATTTTTTTTTGCATGTTTATTGTGCTTAGTTTTCAGAAGATGGTAACCAGAAAAATATAAGAATGCTAAGCCTGGAGCTGATGAAACTTAGAAACAAAAGAGAAACAAAAATGAGGGTGAGTATACGGTACCTTTGGTAAATTACTGTGTCTAGATCTAAATATTTCAAATTTCTTTCTTTTTTTAGTGATTTTTAAAAAAATAAATGACAGTGGAATGCATTACAATTCTTATAACACATATAAGCACTCAAATTTCTTAAAACAAATTTTTCTGGTGTAGAGTATGATGGCTAAACAAGAAGGCATGGAAATGAAGCTGCTGGTTACTCAGAAGAATCTGGAAGAGTCTCAGGGGAAAATAGCACAACTTGAGGGGAAAATGTAAGTGAATAAAAGAAATTATTAAGTGTAACCAGTTATTTTGTTTTATTTATCTGATAAGTAAAAACATAAAATGGCACACATTCATTGACTGCCTCATGGTGTTCATATATATAAATGTATGTGTATATGTATATGTATACACACACATTGTGTAATGTTTAAATCAGGTTAAACATATCTATCTTTTCAGTTATTGCAAAAACATTACAGAATTTCCCCCCACACCCCACACTGAGAATAGAAACCCAGGGCACTTTGTCCTGAGCTACAATCTCAGTGCTTTTTTTTTATGTTTATTTTTTAGTTTTAGGTGGACACAATATCTATTTTTATGTGGTGCTGAGGATCAAGCCCAGTGCTTTATGCATGCTAGGCAAATAGTCTACTACTGAGCCACAACCCCAGGCCCAGCCCTTTTTGTTTTTTGTTTTCTGATGGTGTCTTACTAAGTTGTTCAGGGCCTCACTAAATTGCTAAGATTAGCCTAGGACTTGTGAACCTCCTGTTTCAATCTCCTGATTTTCTGGGATTACAGGTATGCACCACCATGCCTGGCTCTTTCTTCTGTTTGAGGTCTACCATATATAATTGTTATCTGTAGTCACCTTGCTGTAAAATAACACATCAGAACTTCTTACTCCTACTTAATGGTAACTTACTGCCCATTGACTAATCTTTCCCCTCTCTGCCTACCCTTACTATTCCTTGCTCTGATAACCATTCTGTTTTCAACTTTATAAGATAACCTTTTTTCAATTCTACATATGAATGATATTGTGGTATTTTCTTTCTGTGCCAGGCTTGCTTTACTTAATATAATGATATCTAGTTCCATCTATGTTGTCATAATGACAGGATGTCATTCTTCATTAGGATTAAACAGTATTCCATGATTTATATGGACCATTTTCTTTATCCATTATTAGTAAATATACAGTTAGGTGTTTTCATTTTCATTCCATTTCGTGGCTATGGTGCATAGTGCTGCAGTAAACATGGTGTATTTGTCTGTTTGTTTGTTTTAAGGAGAAACCTACAGTTTTCCATAATGGCTGTACTAATTTATATTCTCACCACCAGTATGCAGTGGTTCCCTTTTCTGTACATCACCATAAGCACTTGTTTAATTTTTAATCTTTTTGATGATGGCATTCTTATATGACTAAGTTTTCATTTACTTGACTAGTGATATTGAGCACCTTTTCATATATCTGGTAACCATTCTTATGTCTTCTTTTGAGAAATGTCCATTTTTATATCAGATTATTTGGGTTTTTGCTATTGAGATTTTGAAGTTCCTTATATATTCTTGATATCAAAATCTTGTTAGAAGGGCTGGAAATGTAGCACAGTAGTAAGGTACTTGCCTAGCATGCCCAAGGCCAGGAGTTAAATCCCCAGCACCACCAAAAAACAAAACAAACCTTGTTAAATGTATAGTTTGCAAACATTTTCTCTCATTCTGTAGGTTGTCTCTGCACTCTGTTGAGTGTTTCTTTTGCTGTGCAGAAGATTTTTAATTTGATGCAAGCCCATTTGTCCTGTTTACTTTTTCTTCTTATGCTTTTGGGGTCTGGTTCAAAAAAATCTTCTGATTCCAATGCCTTAAAACAATTTGTCTGCTTTCTTCTACTAGTTCATTGTTTGAGTCATAAGTTTAAGTTTTCAATCCATTTTGAGTTGATTTTTATAGCTGGTGAGAGATAAGGTCTAGTTTCACTTTTCTGAATGTAGATACCCATTTTTCCCCATACCATTTATAGAAAAGAGAGTCCTTTCTGCAGTGCTTATTCTTAGCACATTTGTTGACAACCAGTTTGCAGTGGATGTATGGGTTTATTTATGTCTCTTCTAATCCATTGGTCTATGTGTAATTTTTTTTCAATACCTTGCTGTTTTGATTACTGTAACTTTGTAGTATATTTTAAAGTTAGGTAGTGTAATGCCTTTTTGTGTTCTGCTCTTTTTGTGCAAGATTGCTTTGACAATTTGGGGATGGTTTGTGGTTTCTTGGAATTTTTAGGATAATTTTTTGTAGTTTAGTAAAGAATGCTATGGTATTTTCACAGGGATGATATTAAATCTGTAGATCACTTTGGGTAATATGGACATTTTAACAATATTAAGCCTGCCAATCCTAGAGCAGGAGATGTCTTTCCAATTTTTTGTATCTTCTTCAATTTCTTTCATCAGTGCCTTATAATTTTCACTATAGAAATATTTTATATCTTAGATTAAATTTATTCCTTAAATTTTTTTGTAGCTATCATAAATGAAATTGTTTCCATGATTTCTCTCTTTCATGTAGTAAACGATTAGGGAGTAATATTGATACCTATTTTTGGATGTTGAGTTTGTATCATGCAACTTCTCTAATTTTAATTTTTGGTGGAGCCTTTGTAGTTTTCTATATGTGAGATCATGTCATCTACAGACAATGAAAGTTTGACTTTATGTTATCCAGTCTGGATGTGTTTTATTTCTTTTTCCTGCTCTAGTTAGTACTTCTAGTACTACTTTGATTGAAAGTGGGCATCCCTATCTTTTTCTGGATCTTAGAAAGCTTTCAACTTTTCCCAATATGCTCACTGTTGGCTTATTATAAATGGACTTTATTATATTAAAGTACATTTTTTATACCTCATTTGTTCAGCATTTTTTAATCATGAAATGTTGAAGGTTTTTTGTTTTTTAAATTTTTTTGGTTGATGCTAGGGATCAAGCCCATGTGCATGCTAGGTTGGCATTCTTCCACTGACTACATCCTATATCCCAAGTTGTTTTTTGTTTGATTGACTGATTGTACTGAGGATTGAACCAAGGGCCTCACAGGTACAAGGCAAGCACTGCACTGCTGAGACATAACCCCAATCCTAACTCCTTTATTTTGAGACAGAATCTCACTAAGTTGTGAAGGCTGGCCTCACACTTGGGATTCTTTCATCTCAGCTTCCCAAATAGCTGAGATTAAAGTTATAATGTCACCATGCCTAATGGCTTGAATTTTATTAGATAACTTTTCTCTTTCTCTTGATATGATGATGTGGTTTTTATCCTATGTTTTTTTGATATGGTTTGTCATAGTTATTGATTTGCTTCTGTTACACCATCCTTGTATACCTAGGAAGAATCCTACTTTATCATGGTGAATAATCTGAATAATCTTTCTAACATGCTACGGATTTTGTTGACAGTTTTGTATGTGTGTAGTGTATGTACCAGGGATGGAACCCACGGGCACTTTACCACTGAGCTACATCTCAACCTTTCTTATTTTTTGATTTTTGAGACAAGACTGCTGAGGATCTGGCTAAGTTGCTGAGCCTAGCCTCAAACTTGGAATCAGCTTGCCTCAGCTTTCCAAGTTGCTAGAATTACAGCATGCACCATCAGGCTCAGCTGTGCTATAAATTCTGTTTGCTAATATTTTGCTGAAGATTTTTATGTCTATGTTCATGAGGATTTGGGCTTGTAGGGTTTTTTGTTGTTGTTGTTGTTGTTTTTGTGGGGGTAGGGATACCAGGGATTAAACTGTGGGGCTTTCAACCACTGAGCCACATTCCCAGCCCTGTTTTGTATTTTATTTAGAGACAAGGTTTCACTGAGTTGCTTAGCACCTCACTTTGGCTGAGGCTGGCTTTGAACTCTCGATCCTCCTTCCCCAGCCTCCTGAGCCACTGAGATTACAGGCATGTGCCACTGTACCTGGCTACAGTTTTTTTTATTCACTTGTCTGGTTTGCATATCAGGGTAATCCTGTCTCCATTTTATATGTTTGAAAGAATATCTTCCTCTTCAATGTGTGAGAATAATTTAAGAAGAACTGATACCAGTTCTTCCTTAAATGTTTGGTTGAACACAGCATTGAATTGTATGATTGGGGCTTTTCTTGGATGGGACACTTTTCTTTATTGTTTCAGTCTTGTTATTGATCTGTTCAGGTTTCCTATTTCTTCATTATTCAATCTTGTTAAGCTGAATGTGTCCAAGAAGTCATCCATTTCTTCCAGGTTGTCAAATTTGGCTTATAGTTGTTCGTAATAATCTCCATTGAGTTTTTTGTGTATCTACAGTGTCAATTGTAGCATACCCCTTTCATTTTATTTATGAAATAAATGTATTTGATTTTATTTGAGTCTTCTGGTTTCTTTTCTTTTAATATTTATTCTTAAATTTTAGGTGGACATAATATTTTTATTTTACATTTATTTGATACTGAGGATCGAACCCAGTGCCTCGTGCATGCTAGACGAGCACTCTACCACTGAGCCACAACCCCAGCCCCTGTTTTTTTTTTTAAACTAGGCTGAGAGTTTGTCAATTTTTAAAAATCTTTTCAAAAAACCAACATTCCTTTTGTTTATCTTCTTATTTTATTTAGTTTCTGTCTCATTGATTTTTCACTCTGATCTTTATTATTTCTTTCCTTCTACTAATTTTGTGTTCATTGTAGTTTTTTTTTTTTGCTTTTAGGAGATGCAGCCATAGGTTGTTAGCAGTTCTTCACTGGCTTTTCTAAGCAAATTATTCCTTAGTCAGATTTTAATCTTTCCTCAACACTTATCACTTCTTTAATTTTCCTGTTTCTCTCTCTCTCTCTTCTTTTTTTTTTTTTCCCAATCCTCCATGGTTTACATAGGAAGCCCACACTGGGGTCCAGGAGTATGCTTTTATTTATTTATTTTTGTGGTGCTGGGAATTAAACCCAGGGCCTTGAGTATGCTAGATAAGCACTCTATCACTGAGCTACACTCCAGTCCTCCCTATTTCTCTCAAGTGACAGTGAACCCTAATCATTCTCAAACATTTAATGCTAGAAAGTTATATGAATGTAGTACTTTTGTCCCATCTTCAGTAGCAATGATAAGGAAATGCTTATGATCTTCCCATTTAGTGTAATCTTACGGAGATGATAGTCGGAACCAAACTGAGAAACACTGGTATAAGAAGCTGTGGTTAATGCACAGTAATATTCCTTTTTTATAATTTACATATAATAAATGCATGGATCTTAAATATTCAGGTTGATAACTTTTGACAGTTATATACATTTTTGTGACCATTAACCAAATAACAGAGAGAATATTTCCATTCCCTCAGAAAGTTACTTTCATACCCCTCGTTACCTGACTGCTACCTGTGTATTGCTGGCCATCCCTGCAGCTACTTTCTATTTTTCATCATAAATTTGAGAAGTTTGTTATAGTATGGGTTGGGGGCTTCTTTTTTATGACATAATTTTTCACAATTCATCAATGTATATTCTTCTTCCTTTTTATTTCCGAGTAACATTCTATTCTATGAATACATCTCTGTTTACTGTTCTTTTCACCATTTTAGGCCCTTTTAAAAGTTTCTTACTCTGAAGAAGACTACTATAAACATACATTTTTGTGGATATTTATTTGTACTTTTCATGTGTAAATATCTAGAAGTGGAATTCTTGGGTCATAGGGTAATATATAACATTAAAAAAAAAACAAAAACCCTCAAAGTTGTTGTATCATTTATACCCCCACTAGCAAGGTGGTTCTATATTTCTAACACCATTTGATGTATCCTGTTTACTTAGTCCTTTTTAATGGATTTGAAGTGGTAATTTGTAACTTTGTTACTATGAACCTTGAATATCTTTCTGTGTACTTATAGATCATTTCTACGTCTTCTATTGTGAAATGTCTAGTTAAGTCTTTTGTTCATTTCTTAAATTAGGTTGTTAAGAAGAGTTGAACATATAAATAATTGAATGCCAGATAGCTGAAACAAAAGCTTTATGACACTCAAAATGCTATTTGGGTGGGTAAGGAGACCAAGAAAGCTACAAAATAAGATTATGTCTTTGATTTGGGATATTGTGAGATGATTCTCATTATCATAGCTCTTTTGTCATAGTACCTTTGAAAATCCTTTTTACTTAAGTAAAATCATTAGTCTCCCGCTTGCATATAAATTGTCAACCTGAGAAGTAAGTCACTCTTACTGATTAAGAATTTGAACTCTGCAGTCACTTGCCTAATACAACAGTATCTTATACATAGTAAGCATTATGTGCAATTATTTTTTTATTGGTTGCTCAAAACATTACAATGATCTTGACATATCATATTTTATACATTTGATTCAAGTGGGGTATGATTCTTATTTTTACCACGTATCCAGATTGCAGGATCACATTGGTTATACATCCATGTTTATACATACTGCCATACTAGTGTCTCTTGTATTCTGCTGCCTTTCCTATCCCCTTCCTATATGTGCAATTATTAAATAAACTAACATCCAATTTTTTTTTTAGTGTTTCAATAGAGAAAGAAAAGATTGATGAAAAATCTGAAACAGAGAAACTCTTAGAATACATCGAAGAAATTAGGTAATATGAAAAAGTAGCTTAATATTGAACCTTATTTTGTTAAACACTGATGAAAACATCATTTTCATCTTTTTGCTGTTTCCATGTGCCTAAAAAGATATGCTCTTTTTCAATATTTTTAATATAGTTGTGCATCAGATCAAGTGGAAAAATATAAGCTAGATATTGCCCAGTTAGAAGAACATGTGAAAGAGAAGAATCATGAAATTTTAATCCTTAAGCAGTCTATTGAGGAAAATGTTATCTTGTCTAAACAAGTAGAAGACCTGAATGCTAAATGTGAGCTGCTTGAAAGAGAAAAAGGTATTATTGTGTTTATAGTTAGTACATTATTGTATTTAAGAAAAGCACTGCTATGTCAAAACAACTTTTTTAAAATTATGTAATCAACAACAGTAAACCTTATTCTGTATTTGAAATTTTTTTTATAATGTTTATTCTCTATTTCAGTATGTTGCTTTTCTTGATAGAAAAAAGAAACAATTGTGCAGTTCATGACTTCCCTTGACTGGCTATTTAAAATTGGTAGATAACATAGAACTAGTTTTGAGGGTTTTGTTATATAGCATACAATATATGTTATATGTTGTAATAATTGTACAAGCTTCATAATTTTTTGCTTTTTTCCTTTGAAAATATTTGATCTGTGAATTGTGCTAAACACCAGCATAATGAAGTATTTTGAGTATCTAGGTTTTTTTTAATGATGTTTGTATGTTGTTACAGTATTTTAAATGTTTTCCTTTTATAGAAGACCTTCTCAGTAGGAAAACGGAAAGGGATGAAAGTCTAAATGCAGAGATGCAAAACTTAAAAGAGAAGCTTATTCTGGAAAAACAAGAACATGAAAGACTACAACAAAAAGAGTTGCAAATTGAATCACTTCTCCAACAAGAGAAAGTAATTAACTGCAATGTTTTTTTAAATTAAAGAATGCTTATTATGTGTCATAAATTTCACTGTCAGAAAACTTTGTTATATATCCTTTGATCCAACAATTCTAATTTTAAAATCTAATCCTGAGGAAATGACCATGGATATTCTGAAGTCTTAGCCATACTCCTTCACAACGTGTTCACTATGGGGTTATTAATAATGTCAAAAAAATTAAAATACAGATGTAGCAAAGTAGGGATCATTTAACATTGCTTTCCTATTACATTTTTGTATTTGAAGCCCATGTAGACATTTAGAGTTGTCTTTAGAAGAATATCTTACTACAGGAAAAATATAATCATAAAATTTAGATTACATGAATAACATTACGTGTGTGTGTGTGTGTGTGTGTGTGTGTGTGAAAGAGAGAGAGAGAGAGACAGAGAAAACAGTCCACTAAAATATAGTGCAGAAATAGATAATTCTCCCATATCTTATAAACATGAAAGATGCTCCATCTCAGTAGTAATCAAGGAAATGGAAATAAAATTTTTCCATTTACAAAATTGGTGAAAATTAAAACATTTAATAATGTAAAATATTGGTAATGGTTGAGACAATTGGTACTTACATGCATTGATGTGTTAGAGTCTGTAAACAAGTCTGGATGGCGCCTGGCAAAATGCCAGAGGGAGTGGTTTGTGAAGTAAGCCAGGGAGCCATTAAGTGTGGAGATTCCTTATTGGTTGACTGCTGTATCTAGTTTATGTTAATTAGATAAGCTGTGTGGAATGTATAAATACCACTCCTTTCCTATAATAAACGGTTCCCACTCCTGCTGTATCAGTGTACACCAAGTTGCTCGTCACACACACACACACACACACACACACACACACACACACACCGGTTATTTTGCTGCAGCCGGACTGTGGCATTGATGTGAAGCAGTATGTATTTGGTTAACCTACAACAAATGAAGTAGAACACATTGAGTTGGAAAGATCTCAACTATCTATGATTTTTTATAATGACCTCTACATATGTCCAAAAAATATGTATGTGTATATATAAATATATTGACAAAGACCAGAAGGCATACATGTTCCAAATTAGTAGATGTTTCTGGGCAGAGACAACTAAAGTTGGGGTGGGAAGTAGTCAAAGATAATAGTCACTTTCTTTGTAATGATAGAATGTTTTTCACAATGATGATGTGTTTGTATAATTGATGTACTATATAGCTTAAAGTATTTTATATAAGGTTGAAATCATAAAATACTTTTATATAGTATTATAGGAGAAAAGTATACATAAAAACCAGTTGTAAAACATATAAATATAATTTTAGTTTTATAAGTTTATGTGTATGTTGCATAGGAGAAAAAAGCCTGAAATGAAAGTTGCCACAGTATTAAGATGTGGAAAATAGCTCATGAAAAAAGTTTGTGTTTGTGTATTTATGTTTGTTTATTTTATTTATATATAATATATATAGTCCTGAGGATTGAACCCAGAGGTGCTTTACCTTTGAGACAGGATGTCCCCCGAGTTACTGGGATTACAGGCATATGCCACTATGCCCAGCCATATATCTATATTTTTTAATGTTATTTTGAAACTCTTAAATTTAGTTTTTATATATATATATATATATATATATATATATATATATATATATATATATATATATATATATATATTTTTGTCTCTTCATAAAACCTAAGAATGCCATTTCAAATTATTTTGTTGGTTATCTTTTTGGATATAGGAATTATCTTCTAGTCTTCAGCAGAAGCTATTTTTTTATCAAGAAGAAATGATTAAAGAAAGAACTCTTTTTAAGGAAGAATTAAAGCTTGCACTGGAAGAACTAGATCTAGTTCAGCAAAAGGAAGAACAAACTGAAAGACTGGTCAAACAGTTGGAAGAGGAAACAAAAACTACAGCAGAAGAACTAAAACTCCTAGAAGAACAGTTGAAAGAGTTCGTATTAATAATGTACCTCTTATTTATATATGATTTGAGATGTTTAAAATTATTTCCTGGTTTATTTTTTTAAGATTCTCACCTCAATTGTGAATATGTGAGATTGAAATTATTTTTCAAGAAGGAATAGACAGAGACAAAGTCTATACATGCAAAGAATGTGTGTGCAAGCCAATATGACAGCTAAAATAAAAAGCATTGTCCCTTCTTAAATTTAAGGCCAGAAGTAGTTTTAGTTAACAAATGACAGAAGCTTTGTGCTATTTTACTACTCCTATGTGTTCTAAAAGTCACTGTACATCAGCTTTACAGTGATGAATTTAGGGGAAAAAAAAACTAATAACTCTACCCTTTAATAATAAAATGGATTGCATTTTTTTATCTATGTGTACATCAATTTACATAGTATAAGTGGTACTTTTTATTACATTTCATGAGGCAGCAATCAAAAAATAAAATGGGGAAAAAACACCAGAAATGGAAAACATTAAAAAATAAGAAATTTATCAAAGTAGAAAATCTGAGATCTTATTTTGGTTTTTGACTCTAACTTTATATTCCTTTCATTATATTATACCTCTTTCACCATTTTATGTATTTATATTAAAATATCCATTTTGATTCTTGAATTTGAATTGCAAATCCTTGGGAACTCATCACTAAAACATTTTATTAGTAAGGAACCATGGATTAGATATGAACCTATATTATTATAGTAAATCTCCCACTTTTTCTTGTTGGATTTTTTTTGTTATTAATCTCTTTTCTATTTTTTTTTGTGATTGGTGAAGGCAAAGAACACTTAAGAGTTTATACCTGTTTTTTTGGAAACAGTACAAAAGTATAACTAGGGGGATTGTTCTGTACTGCTCCCAGTCTTAAAGAACAGGAACCTTAAGAAACTGAGTAGATATCAATTTCACAGAGGATAGTTGAGACATTTATCCTAAAGACAAAGAACTCTATTGTAGCATTCAAGACATAAGAATTTTATTACTGCATCTGTTAACTGTCTGATTCTGAGCAAAACATCATTAGTTTCTGTCATTTTCTATAAAATAAAGAAATTTAATTATAAGATGATCTCTAGGGTCTCTCCTAGACTAGAAATTTCAGGCTTAGGAAAAGATCAACTAAGGATTGAAAGTAATTTCTCTAAAGGATAAGGAAGAAAATGTTTTTATTACAAACCCTTTAGTAACATTTGATAGCTTTTGCTGTGATGTGTATATTTTAAAAATCTAAACTCATTGCTTAATGAACCTGATTAACTATTTATCTTATTTCAGTGTCCTACCTAGTTTGTAAGTACACAATGCATATTACAGTTTTACTTTTGTATATTCTTTAAAAGGTTTCTCATAAGCTCAGATAACTATGTAAAAACTTTTTCACCATTTTGATAATCTATCATGAATATTTCAAAAAATTCTGTGATTTATAATATATAAAGATGACTTAATTTATTTTGTCAATATAAAATAATCCATTTAAGTGTTGAATTTTTTATAACAATTAATTATGTGGATTAATCATATAATCAAAATAATCCACAGAATCTTATAACTCTTTTTCCAAAAGAACTTTTAAAATAAAGTGTTTAACTATATTTAGTATTAGTATCTAAGTGCAGAGAATGAAACTTGAGTAAATCTGGGTACTTTTTAACTTGTAATTTTGGGCTTTTGTTGTTAAGATTCTGCATTAGGGCTTTTACTTACCTCCTGTCCCCCAAATTTTAAACACCCACTTAAATGCATATGGTATGAAAAAAGGAATTTAGTAATGCATAAATTTGGATGAAAAAGAGTAAAATAAGAGCAGAAGAAATAAGATGAAGCCAGTACTCTTAGTACAGTAAATAAAAATATGAGAATTAGGCCATAAACTCTAAACTAATGCAGGTCCTGAAAGATGAGTTGTATGATTCACATTTCCTATGTATTCTCTTTCTTACTGATCTGTTGTTAGCGTTTTATCTTCTAAAATTTTCTTTTTCTTAGGAAAGAAGCTGAAATGGAGAAAAATGATGCTGCTCACATGCAGGCCACCCTAATTTTGCAGGAAAGGTATAATAGTACAGTGCAAAACCTTGGAGATGTTACTGCTCAATTTGAAAGGTATTTTTCTTAGGAGCCTTTACTCTCAAATATAATGTGAGCAGGGAGAAGTGTTTATCTACAGAAATCTGTGAACAAAGTAATCACACAGAGGATGGCTGGTACTACTTTAAATTATTTTTGTTGTTGTTTTGTTTTGTGGTCCTTGGGATTCAACTCAACAGTGCTCTATTACTGAGCTATATCCCCAGCCCTTTTTGTTATCTTGAGACAGTTTCACTAACTTGCTGGTCTGGGAACTTGTAATTCTCTTGTCTCAGTTTCCCAGTCTCCCAAGTTACTGTAATTATAGGCGTGTTCTATGACACTTGGTTATTAACTTTCCTTACCATAATGACTTGCCATAAATTGGTCACTATATTTATTCAGAAATGTTTCACTCCCACTATCTAGTTTAAATTTCATGCATTCTTGAACTTTTGACACTTCTATTTTACTTCTCTGATATTGTTTGCTTAAATTCAAAAACTTTTATGTCCTCATCAAACTTAAAAAACACCCACATGGCTGTAAAGTCATACTGTCTTCTTACCTACTAGATTATTTCTATCTTTTAACCTTCAGTGACATCACTATATATTTGATCCTTGTTTCTCAAAATTTTCAACCTTTCTACTAGAATTTTCCCCATCAATATGAATTAATGTTAATGTGCAGTCATCTTTAAAATGCAGGATTTAAAAAAAAATCTCCTTGACTCTTCCTTGCTTCTTGTACATGTCCAATACAAATCATTTCTAATATGTCTTAACCTAAAATTATATTCCTATTCCCAGTTCATCTTCTTAATAGAAGCTTATCTGTCTGCGTATTATATCTACTTCTTTACCTCTTGCTATTTTTCCTTTAAAAAAAAAGAAGTTTAATTGCAAAAGATAACAGTGTATTAATATTTTTGTTTATCATAGTTTAGACCATTTGGAGAGGAGGTTTCTGCCACTTTAATATATATATTAGACACAAAAGAATATACATGAATAATAAAGCATAAAGTATAAAATCAATACATGTGAACCCATGAAAGACAACCATTAAGTATAATGATATTCAACAAATTGGTTGTATGAGTTTCATCTCTATGCCATTTCTGAACAGGTAACACTGTCTCAAAGCCTCCATTTAGTATTTTCTCACCTTTTTCCCCATGCATTATAGTTTTATAACATGTATACCCATACAAATATCACTTATCTAATTTTACTCTTAGCATCAACAGAAATTGTCATCATACCATATGCCATTTCCTATGACTTGACTTGCCTTTTCACTCTGCCTTATGTATTTCTAGAACAGAATTGTATTGTTTCATGAGAATATAGTTTGTTCATGGTCATGCTGTGAATAGCTGAGTATGAACATAACCACAATTTTTTTATGCATTCTTACTTTGCACATTTGTTGTTTCCTTTTTTAAATTTATTTATGTTTTGGTTATTATTGGTGATATATTTAATGAAAATTATCTTAACGTCTCCTAGTACACAAGAATCCTTGTATGTAAATGATAATTTTTAAAATTTAATACCAATCATTTTCTAAAGTGAGGGTAAGAATATATCCAGTGTTCTACTTTCTCACCAAAGCTGCTGTACTTTTAAAATTTTGCCACTATGCTAATGTAAAATGACTTTGTATTGTAGATAATTCATCAGCACTATGAGTTGTAAATATTTTCTTCCACAGTGTAGCCTGTCTGCATTTTCTTCATGGTTTCTTATGATGGGTGGAAATTCTTGATTTTAAATTTGGAAATTTTAATTATTCTTTTAAATTTATAAATTTTATAAGAACTTCTTTCTATCCCAGCAACATGAAGATATTTACCTATTTTTCTTCTTAAAGTTTCAAGTTTTGCTTTTCATTTTTTCGCCTACAACTGATTACTGTGTGTACAATGTTACGAAGATTAAATTTCTTTTTGTTTGTCCCTATGGAGAAATAGTTGCCTACTACCTATTCATTGAATACTACTTCTTTCCTAGTGATGTATTCCTCTATATGAAACATTCTGGTAAATATGTAGATAAATAATATATATTTATATATATTTCACTAAAAACTTTTATATATCAGAACATATATGTAAATAACACAATCACAGTGTCCTCTAAAGGAATTTTTCTTCTCAATGGTTTAAAAAATAGAGCTTTAGAGCAACATGGGAGACTGAGACAGTAGGAGGACAAGTTTGAGGCCAGCCTGGTGACAATGAGACACTGTGGGGGGTGCAGACTGGCTTAAAAATAGTGCTTCAGGGGAGGGACTGTAGCTTAGTGGCAGAGCACTTGCCTAGCTGGTGTGAGGCACTAGGTTCAATCCTAAGCACCACATAAAAGAAAACAAATAAAATAAAGGCATTCTGTCTATGTACAACTATAAAAAAACTTTTTAAAAATAGTGCTTCAGGAAGTCTTAATTCGTTATATATTATCATGAAAATTTTTTTCTTCAAACATACTTATCTTTTCAGCTGCATATCATACATCTCTGTGTACTTGATATATTGAAGTAGATATTTTATTATTGCCTGATAATAACCTGCATCAAATAATTATTGGTCTTCTTTCTCTTTCCACCTCTATTCTCTCATTGTTTTATCATGTTTTTTTTTTAATTGCAAGCAATAACATCTTCATCTTCCAGCCTTTCACTCCATAAATCCTAGACTTGTTTTTCTTTCCCTTTCCACCAATATCCAATTAATCTCTTTAGTTTTTCTGTTTTGCCTACAAAAGAGATCTCCCATCTTTCCATTGTTAACACCTTAGTTTAAGCCTCTGTAATTGCTCACCTGGGATGATAAATAATTGTCTTCCTTTTGATTTCCTGGTTTTCCATCCTCCAATTTTCAGGATCCATCCTCCACATATCTCTGGAGTAATCTACATACAAATTAATGCTTCTCCCTTATTCTTTAGGTAAACCCATTGTGCCCCTGATTGGCTTCATGGCTCTGGCTTTTGTTTCTGCCTCTCTTATTCATTAGATTCCATTCTGACCCCTTAGTGGACATTTTCTACCTCACTCTCATATCAGCTTTATCCTCTGAAATGCTTTCCCCTAACTGCCTAGCTAATGCCTCCTTACACATCATGTCTCAGCTTAATTCTAAATTTCTTAGAAAGGCCTTTTTTAAATCACCAACCAAAATGTAGGTTCCCCTATTTTACCAACTTAAAGTGCTTTGTATATTTCCTTCTTAACACTTACCTTAGAAGCCTGAATTCCTACCTGTGTAAGTGCAGGAATATATTATAAAGTTTTGTTAACTTTGCTGAAGAGTATGTGAAATGTAAACTGATTCACTCTATTTGTCATTTTCATGGTAGTTAGAAAAATACTTTAACTTTTTTTTTCTTTTTAATAAGCTATAAAGCATTAATAATTAGTGAGCTAGAAGATCTTAGACTGGAGAACTCATCACTACAGGAAAAAGTGGCCAAGGCTGAAAAAAGAGCAGAGGATGTTCAACATCAGATACTGACAACTGAAAGCACAAATCAAGAATATGCAAGGTATGAATAAGCTGCTTGCTCACACTAATACCTTAGAACCATTAAAACTTCTTAATATTGTCAAAATCCAGCTACTAAGTGGTTCAGGGAATTGTCCCATGGCTTGCTTTTGGTCATCTTAAATTAAAAATTTTTATTTAAATCCATAAAATTAAGATACTTGAGTTATTTGGGGTATTTGGGTTTGATTTTAAAAAGTAAGAAGTGAAAGAAAAATCAATGTCTAAAATATTTAGTGACTTTTCTCTCAAATTCAAAGGATGCTTGTAGATCTACAGAACAAATCAGCACTGAAAGAAGTAGAAATTAAAGAAATGACAGTTTCTTCTCTTAAAAAAATAACTGATTTGCAGAACCAACTCAAACAACAAGATGAAGACTTTAAGAAGCAACTGGAAGAGGAAGAAGTAAGGTAAGTTAGAATGGGAAAGTGAGTACCGTGTAATGGTTATTTTTCTCTAATTCGTAATTAATTTTAATAATTAATGTTTTCTTAATTTAATTTTCCCATATAGAAAAGTTGGGAAAGAAAACACAGTGGCAGAATTAACTGAGGAAGTTAATAAATGGCGTCTCCTTTATGAAGAACTGTATAAGAAAACAAAACCTTTTCAGGTTTGTCTCTTAGAATTAAACTTATATGTGTTTATTTTAAGTTCCAATTAAAGATTTATAAAATGGATTATGCATAAAATTTTTCCACCTTTATTGAAATATAATTAAAAATTTTACTAGACTTAAATTTTCATGCCCTTGTCTTTTTTATTAGTTATTGATACACCTGTATTCATTTATGTGTTTATATATGGTGTTGAGAATCGAACCCAGTGCCTCACACGTGCTAGGCAAGTACTGTACTATTGAGCCATAACCCCAGCCCCCATAAGTTTTTAATGTACTCTTTACAGGTTAAAAGTTGCTTTCTAGCCAGGCACAGTAGCGTATGCTATAATCCCTGTGGCTCAGGAGGCTGAGGCAGGAGAATTAAGAGTTCAGACCCAGACTCAGCAACAGCGAGGCACTAAATAACTCAGTTGAGACCCTGTCTCTACCTTAAAAAGTACAAAAGTAGGGCTGGGGATGTGGCTCAGTGGACAAGCACCCCAGAGTTCAATCAGAAGGCTGTCCTGATAATAAACTTTGGATGATTAATCTATGTTACTTTGTGATGTGCATTTTGTTATGATCTATCTCAAATACTATCTTTTTGGGGGTTGGAGGTACCAGGAATTGAACTCAGGGGCACTTAACCACTGAACCACATCTCCAGCCCTATTTTGTATTTTATTTAGAGACAGGGTCTCACCGAGTTGTTTAGCACCTCCCTGTTGCTGATGCTGGCTTTGAACTCATGATCCTCCTGCCTCAGCCTCCCGAGCCACTGGCTTTACAGGCAAGCACCACTGCACCCAGGTCAAATAGTATCATTTTAAGAGAAGAAATGGATAAATGCTAAGTTTGGCACTTAAATACAGTAGAAACACATTGGTTATAACATGAGATCTATCTGTATCAGATAGATCTAGTTAGTTTTCTTGTTTCTTTTCCTCTGTCTTAATGATATTTAAAATGAAAACTAAAAAATTTAAAAGATTTATCAGAAAATCTGTTGAGATCCTGTAAAATAAGTAAGCATATTGTGGTTTGGTTTGGTTTGGGGTTTAGTTTTTTATGCTCTGTATGAGACCTGTAAAATTTAATAATTTTAATTCTTTATTTCATTTAAAAAATCTTTTCTAGCTTCAACTGGATGCATTTGAAGCAGAGAAACAGGCTTTGTTGAGTGAACATGGTGCAACTCAGGAGCAGCTAAATAAAATAAGAGATTCATATGCGGAATTATTGGGTCATCAGAATCTGAAGCAAAAAATCAAGCATGTTGTGAAATTGAAAGATGAAAATAGCCAACTGAAATCGGTTTGTAAAATAGCATTTAGTTTTATTAATAGCATTTAGTTTTATTTAGTATTCAAGTTAAAGGCTTAATATCTTATTAATAATATTTAAGTATGATGAAAGTCTTCTAATTCAGAAAAAAAATAACAGTTTACAGAGAAAATTCGGAGAATTAATGGATTTATTTTAGTGTTTACGAGGTGGATATTCAGTGTTCTCAAGTTTTCCAGCTATGGTTTAATACATTTAAAATTACTGGTGTAGTTGGAAGAGTGTATAAAGCTTTACACATCCATTTCTGTATGCAAAATAGCAAATTCCTTGATGTAAATATCATAAAAACAAACAATGTTCAAAAACACTTGTTTACTTAATTTTTTTTTAAGTTGTAGATGGACATAATACCCTTTATTTTAATTGTTTTATTTTTATGTGTTGCCAGGGATGGAACCCAGTGCCTCACGCATGCTAGGCAAGTGCTCTACCATTGAGCCACACCCCTGGCCCAATATGCTTAAATTTTTAATATGCTTACTGAGATATAATTCATATCCCATATAATTCCCCCACTTAAAATACACAATTTGTGGTTTTTAGTACATTCACAGATGTATGCAGCAGCATCACAATTATAGATCACTTTTTATCACCTCAAAATAAAATCCTGTTCTTTTTACTATTACCCTCTTATCTCCTCATTCTATCCCAGCTTCAACCTTAAGCAACTACTAATTGATTGCCTCAAATAATAGGTAGTCTTTTTGACTGTCTTCTTTCAAACAGCATAATATTTTTAAGATTCATCCATGTTGTAGAATGTTTTAGTACTTCATTCATTTTTTATGGACTAATAATAATTCATTGTGTGAATAAACATTTATGTATTCCTCAGTTAATGGCCATTTGGAGTTTTTTCTGCCTTTTGGCTATTATAATAAGCATACTGTAATCATTTCCATACAAGTTTTTTCTCCAGGGGCAGTAGCCAGTAATCCCAGCAACTGGGGAGGCTAACACAGAAGGATCCCAAGTTTGAGGATAGCCTCAGGAACTTGGCAATACCCTGTCTCAAAAAAAAAAAGACTGGGTATGTAGCTCAGTGGGAAAGCACACTGGCATTCAATCCCTAATATAGTCCCCCTAAAAATATCCAAGTTTTTATATGGACATGTATTTTTACTTTTCTGGGTTATATGCCCAAGAGTGAAATTGGTGGGTTTTATGGTAGCTCTGTTTAATCATTTAAAGAACTGTTTTCTAAAGGGGCTATACCATTTTACTTTCTATCAGCAATATAGGGTTTCATTTTCTCCATATGCTCACTATTACTTGATATCACCTAAAATTTTGATTCTAGCCATTCTAGTGTGTATAAATTAATACCTGCCTTGTAGTTTTCACTTGTCTAAAAATGTTGATCTAGGGTGAATACTGCCAAACATGACAACCGTGCCTCCCAACACTGTTGTACCTTTGATGTTGCTATTCAGGGAGGTATAGTTTGGGTATGCTTAGTTACTCTGGGGTAAGTCTTGCTTTGGTAGTGCTATCTTCCTGTCTTTTGCTGACACACATGACTGATAACTCTACTAGTTGCTGGTTCATGGCTGTTTTCAGTAGTGTTCTAAGGCATACAAATTGCCTACAATATTAATCTAATCAAATTCTGGTTCATTTGTAGGAGTAATATATGAGAGTACTGTGTGGTATTTGTTCTGATTCTGGAAAGGCTCATCCCAGCTGTTTTATTCCCCATTTCTGTCCTACAAAATTAGCCACCTACAATTTAGACTATCCCTAATCTTCTCCCAGTTCCTTTCACCACAACCACCTCTGCTCTTTAGAGCACACTTAGGCTTTATCTCTGCATGTGAAATCTCTTCCAAGTGAAATCACTTCCCTTGGAAAGAAATTAGGAGCTATTTTATGGTGTGTTTTTCCTTCAGACAATATCTGAGCTATAATTCTAGAACTGAAATTGGGGATAGTGGGAGGTTTTTTGAATTTTACATCTGCCCTTAGAGCTGAGGTCTTGCAAGGAAAGTTTCTTGCTTGCCTTTTCTGGCATAAAATTGAGCCTGAGCAAGGGTGATCAGGGTCACAGTATTTTCAACATACTGTGTCCCAGTCAAACCCCTGTACCACAGGTGAGGCTGAGCAGGAGAAGGGATTTTCCACCCTCAGCTGCATTTGCAAGGATATAACTACAGCAATAGAAGCTTTGGGCAAGATGAGAAAGTCTGATGCCTTGATCTTGCTGGCAAGAAGTCTCTGGAAGTTGGGAGGGAAGGAAGGATTATGTGACTAGAGCAGTTGGGGTTGAAATTCCCCAAACTTTCAGGTTTCCTACAGATTTTTTTGTGGATCTTTTTGAATAAATGTTTCTTCATTTAGTATTTTGCCTTTGTAGCCATTTTTCAGAGGCCTTAATTGATTGCCTTTTTATAAATTTTTTTCACTAGAAAGTAGGTTAGCAGAGCATGCATGGTATCATGCCAGTAGTTGATTTCTGCAATTTCTTTTGAGTAGAACTTTTATTAGAAAAATAACTTCGTACTTACAGAGAAACAAAAAGACTTAAAAGTCTATCTCACTTGCATAGCTGTTCAAAGGCATTTTGTAATTCCTTTTTGAAGTGTAATAGTGATTTTTGCCCAGTTTGCCTGCAACATTGGTAATAATACATTTCTACCAACATGATCTTTAATAATTGTTTATTCTCTATACATTTCTCATCTAGGAGGTGTCAAAACTCCGATCTCAGCTTGCTAAAAAGAAACAAAATGAGAGAAAACTTCAGGAGGAATTGAATAAAGTTCTGGGTATCAAACACTTTGATCCTTCAAAGGCCTTTCATCATGAAAGTAAAGAAAATTTTGCCCTCAAAACTCCATTAAAAGAAGGTAAGAAATGAGTACATGTATAGAACTGTCCTCTTCCTTTGGATTTGCTTTCATAGCATTTAGCAACTTACCTTTTTTATGAACTGTGGAAATTTGTTGATACCTTTATAGATAAGAAATTCTTCCTAAGATTGATTCATATAATGCTTTTTTTCCTCCTGTCATACTCTTTCTGTATATCTAGATCCTGTCTATTCTTTAAGCCCCTTTAAAATTAGATCTTCCTTGAAGCCTTGTTTTACTTTTTTGCTTCTATATTCTCCCTGCCAACATTTTTATTCCCTGTATAAAACATTTACATTTTAACCTAAATGTCTCTTAGGCCTTTAATAATAATTTTCTAATTTGTAGTTTTGCAGAAGCAAATTTTCTCTTTTGGCTGAATCTTTGTGTCTTTCACTATAAATCCAAGTAGGTTAAATAGTATATAAAGAACTATAAACAAAATTAAGCTGCAGAGTATAAATATTGTTCCATCTGCCTTCTAGAACATGAGAAGCCTCTTTTTAATTTATAACACTTGATGAAATTTGTTTTAATTTAAAAAAATAATAATACTTCTTAATAATCTTCCTAGGCAATTCAAACTGCTACTGAACTCCTGTGCAGTGTCAAGAATCATGCAAGTAAATATCTGAAAAACCTGTTGAAGATTATTTTATACTTACTGCTATAATTGTTGATGTTATTATTATGTTTACAATGGGTGTCTTATAATGTTATATTTAATGTGAATTTGAGCATTTGAGCTTCCTATCCTCAGATATGTAAAGGAAGTTCAACTTTTTTCAGTTAGGAGGGAGTATTTAATTCTAAACATTCTAATTGGCTTTTTGGTTTTCAGTACACACCATCAAATTAGCATCTCTTTAAAAATGACCATTCAGATTATTATTCCCCTATTCTGTAACCTCAGTTTCAAGTTTCTAATTATCAGATTATTTTAGCTTGATTCTGGAGTCTTTTCTAATCTGAAAAGACTTAGAAAGGCTTAAATACATTTTGTTCATTCTTGCTTGTGCTTTGATTTACTAATAATGTCTATTCTGACCTACTCATCATCCATCCATTTGTCCATTTCAAACATGAAATAAGGACAGACTTAACTCCTAGTAACCTCATTATCGTTTATCAAAGTCACTGAGTTATTTAATAATTTACAGATTCCTTGACTCTATCTTAATTTGTAATTAGGCTTATAAACCTGCACTTTATTCGATAATAAATTATTCGATAATTATTAGATATGCTAAAAATCTTAGAAACTTTGCAAGTAACCTCTTTAGAGAACTTGATTTGTATATCTACTGAAACTTTGTTAAGTATTTGTGTAATATGAATTAAAATCACAGAGTCAATTTACTCAGTTATTAAATTTTCATTTTATGAAGCTACATTAATTCTTCTTTAAGATATATTTATGTTCTTTGTTCCCCCCACCACCACCACACTGGCCCTTGTTCCCAGTAATCACAAATGATACTCTTTAGAAAGTGGTAATTCTCCCTCTGCTATATCTGATTTGCACAATTGTGTGATTGTAAAACACCATTTTTGTAATGTTGATGGACTAACAGACAATCACAGAATAGCTTTTCTTAATAAATTATTTTGTCAAACCTTAGTACATGGTTGAATTTTAAGCTGTGATTATTTGAAATAGGTTTAGAAGAAAACAGAAATTAGAAAAATTGTCCAATAAAATCAAATGGTTTAAGACTGCTTTTAGTCAAGCTGAAGTAACAGCAAAGTAAACACACAGGTGCACTGCTGGAAGTTCTGCTTACTGGAAGGGTTTCCCTTCACCACTGTCATACCCAAATGTCCCAGAAAATGGCCACAGTGTTACAGCTCTCCACTGTAGAGGGTAGTGGCTGCATATCATATCGTTCATCTACAAAAAAAGCACAAGCCTTCTCCTCTATCAACTGATTATAGGAAACTCCTACAAGGTCACAGGTACAGAACGGCAAAAAAAGGGCAGTAGTGGGCATATGAGCTAATTCTTCATGTAACTTGTACTTTTGTGGCCTGTTTGGGCCCTATCACCTATATACCAGTTCCATTTACTGTTTACATCCAACTTTATGGCTTAGTGGATCAGATAACTTCCAGTTCACAATTAGTAGCTCAGGTTACATGATAACTGGTGGCCTGTGGACAAGTGTTATATTTCTACTAAGGCCTAAACAGCAGGCCATGAGCTGTTTCTCAAAAGGAGTGTACTTATTTACAAAGGATGGCAAGTCTTTGCTCCAAAAAGGATATACCCCTTGATTTACCTATAGAGATCTACTATGAGCTCCAAAGAACATCCCTATCTGCAAGTGACATTTCAAGTATCATTGGATCTGACAGATTATGTAGCCTGAGCAACTGAGAAGCTTGAGCAATAGTCTGGACCTATTACAGATCTTTCCTATTCTGGGCCCTACTCAAAACTAGCAGTTTTTCAGGTCACTCAGTATCGACCACAGTAACACACCCAAATAAAGAATACATTTCTTCCAAAATTCAAAGAGGCCCACTAGGTGGTGTACCTCTTTTGTGGTTATGGGAAGGGGCAGATGCAACCACATTCCCTTCACCCTAGAAGTGATATCTCAACATATATCACCAGACCCCTAGAAATTTTACTGAGGTCCTTGAATTTTTGCCAGATTATATTCTGGCATGCAAATGTCTTACTCATAAGACTAAATTACTTCCGAGTCAGTGAGTCCAGTCAGCCTAATATCTATGTAATGGACCAATGTAATACCTTTTGGAAGGAGAAAGCAATTAATATTTCTGTGTACTAAATTATGACATAGGGTGGATAGTTTTTATATACTTTGAGTTAGGCCTTACCAGCTGAAAGCAAAATGCTTCTTCTCAGCTTTGTAAATAAAGATGAAGAAAAAGAAATTTGTTAGATCAGTAGTAGTTAGGTACTAGAAACCAAGAACTGCATTAATTTGTTCAAACAATGAAAACACTTTTGGTACTGCAACTGCAATGGGAGCCATCCCCTAGTTAAACTTATGATTATCCAATCATTCTCCAAATCCCATCTGTCTTCTGCACTGATTAAATAGGTGAGTTGAATAGGGATGTGGTGGGGATCACCACCCCTGCATCCTTTGAGAACTTATAGCACTGATCTCTTCAAGACCCTTAAGAATTTAGTACTAATGATCCTTGGTTTATAATTACTTCAAATGTACAATTTTGCCAAAGTGGCACACGTTAAATAGAAACAGCACTTCAGCTTTTGAATTTTGATCCTCCCAGGCCAGAGCTATGGGTTATAATACTCTCTTGCATGCTGAGCAGTAGTAGCCAGCCACAGCTCTCCATATTCCACATGATACGGAAGGAAAACAACCAATACTCTAGTGTGTTTCCAGCATTTTTTGGCAATTGTGTTTTGTGTTTTCATACCTTATGTCTACAAAATGCCAATCGCTGTCTCCTGTACCATACAACCATTCTGTTTTTATTACTGTACAGTCATACTCAGCATAACAATGTTTCAGTCATTGACAGAATGCATATATGTTGTTCCATCATACATCCTATAATGTCACTAGATAATGAGAAAAATTTCTGATTATCTAGTGACATTATAGGAATCATAACATAATAGCACAGAACATTATGTAATGGTAAAGCTCCTGCACTGCCAGTCATGTGAAACATGTGCCAGTCATTGCACATTCCTTATGTATAACATTGAATAACATATGACTGTTAGTGGCTTATGTATTTATTATACTTTAAGAGTATACTCCTACTTATAAAAAACATACAGTTGCAGGGCTAGGGATATAGCTCAGTTGGTACAGTGCTTGCCTCGTATACACAAGGCCCTGGGTTCAATCCCCAGCACCACAGAAATAATAATAATAATAATAATACAGTTGCAACCATGTTAGGGTGGCAGAAGCTTTACATTTCTCATGTTTACCATGTCTCTGGATTGTTTCAAAAGGATACATCAAGTGATTGATCTTTACCATCTAGCTTTGTATAAGCACACTCTAATGTTTGCATAATGATGAAATTGCATAATAATACATTCCTCAGTGATATCCCCATTGTTAAGCTAATAGATGATGTGAGATATTCAACACTTTCATTATAAAGTAGGCTTTGTGTTAAATTATTTTGCCCAATCGTAAGCTATTGTGAGCCTATTAAGGTAGGTAAGTCTAAGTTATGATGTCTAGCATGTTAAGTATATTAAATGCATATTTTACTTTATGATATTTTCAACTTAGGATGAATTTATCAGGGTATAATCCCATCTTAAGTTGAAGAGCATCTATAATGCTCTTGGCTTAATAGATAAAAGTCCTAGTGGCTTTTACTTAGCCTTCCCACCATAGTTGCTTACACTTCACAGGTTAGAGAATCAATATGGGGATTTTGCAATCTGTTGAGTACGTATTCTAGACCAAGATAAATAGCCACAGGATACACTGGGAGATGGGCCTGCATAGACACTGTTCAACACTTGGTGGGCCATATTGACATTTTGGGTTTGTTGAAATTTGTGTCAGTACAATGCTAGTATCCAGTGTTCCACAAAAGTTGATTATTGTCTTTTACCTTGTATAGTAACCCTGTCAAAAGCCTGTAGGTCCCTTTGGGAAAGACTGGGAGACACTTAACACTAAATTCTTAGTAATGTACTAAAATCCTTCCTTAAAGGACCCAGCCTCTGCTTCGCTCAAGGACTTCTGTATACTGACTTAAGTCTGAGAATTAACTCAGGGTCTAAGATTCTTTCATCATTATGATTCAAGTTAGGTTTTTGTTCACTTGACCTAGAACTTTTGTGCTTATACATATTAGGTAAGAAGTTAATAGACTTCCTGTCTATTTCACTCACAGGAAAACCATGATCACCAAAGCCATTGGTCTAGGCAAACAGACTATTCTTATTACTCCTCTGGTTCTGATGTCTATTTTGAAAACTGTGCCACATTAACTTTGGTGATTTTTTTTTCCCCCGATCACTTGGCCCCACTACACTTGGATCCATTATTCTCCTTTCATTTAAATTTCCCATATCAGTAACTACAGTTATCACAGTGTGAGGTCTAGCCTACAAAGATTGACCAGGAAGCTCTGAAAAGAACACCGGGATACTGTTACTATGTGGATCTTAAATGTCCCCCAGAGACCACTTGTTGAAGACTTGCTTACCTACTGGTGGCGCTGAGGAGAGGTGGTAGAAATATTTGAGGCAGAGCCTAGTGAAAGAAGTTATGCCATAGGGGTAGGCCCTTGAAGGAGATATTGGTACCTAGACCCTTCCTCTTTCTTTGTTTCCTGGCCACCATGAAGTGAACATATGTTTTGCCACATGCTGCCAGCCATGGTGTTCTGCCTCATCATGGACCTAAAGCAACAGGACCAAGCAACACCAAATGAAATTTCTGAAACTGGGCCAAAATAAATGTCCTCCTTTAACATGATTTTCCAAGGTATTTTGTCAAAATGATGAAAAGCTGACAAATAAATCTCTCTCACACTATTGTTGAAAAGATACTTCTCCTCAACCTCCTAGTGTGAGTGAATAGGTCTTAAGAGACAAGTCTTAATATTCCAATCTTCCTAAGACCTTCAATCCCTTCCTCTACATTAAATCAAGGCAGGACTAGCTTTCCAGTTTGCTCACTATGGGTGTTTTAGTCAGCTTTTTCACTGCTGTGACTAAAGGATCTGACCAGTACAATTGTAGGGGAGGAAAAGTTTATTTGAGGGCTCATGGTTTCAGATGTCTTAGTCCAGAGAGGGCCAGCTCCATTACTTGGGGCTCCAGGTAAGGCTGAACATCATGACGGCAGAGGGTGGCGGAGGAAAGCAGCTCACATCATGGCAATCAAGAAGCAAAGAGAGACTCCAGCTTCAGATACAAAATATATACCCCATAGCCATGCCCCCACAATTAACCACTTCCTCCAGCCACACCCAACCTGCCTCTAGTTACCACTCAATCTCATCAGGGATTAATTCACTGATGCGGTTAAGACCCTCACAATCAAGACCCTCATTGTTATAAAAAAAACTACATAAAAGAGGTTGTGAGGGGAATTGGAAGAAAAAACAAGGAGAGAAATGAATTACAGTAGATGGGATAGAAAGAGAAGATGGGGGGAGGGGGATAGTAGAGGATAGGAAAGGTAGCAGAATAAACAGTTACTAGTATGGCATTATGTAAAAATGTGAATGTGTAACCCATGTGATTCTGCAATCTGTATTTGGGGTAAAAATGGGAGTTCATAACTCACTTGAAACTAATGTTTGAAATATGATATGTCAAGAGCTCTGTAAGGTTTTGAACAACCAATAAAAAAAAAAAAGTTAAAAAAAAAGACCCTCACAATCTAATCATTTCTCCTCTGAAACTTCCTGCATTGTCTCAAACATGAGCTTTTGAAGGACACCTCATTTCCAAACTATAACAGTAGGCCATTTTTTCTTCATGGTTCACCTATCCAAACTGTAAACTCCTAAATTCCCAAGCAGCAATATGACTGGATCCAACTTTATGTTTCTCCCATCATTTATTCACATCCTTAGTATCCTTCCCTACACATTTTCCCAGATTATTTTCATATAAATGAGAAAATTCAGATAATTTCTTTTGGAGTATTGTGCACCTTTTCATGGGTAACACTTTCTTAGGGAGCCTATGAGGCTTGAGTCTAGTTATAGGTCTATTTATCCCAAAGATGGGTGATGAGGATAAGTCCTTCAAAGAGTCAGCATTGTCTACCTTGACAACTGGCTGGGAGGTGGGAGGGGAGGCCATTATAATTTTCACAGACAATATGAGGTTAATTCCCTCAGGCAAGGTTGGAGGGTATTATAACCAAACACAGGGATGCTGCTTCCACTGGGCTTAGGGAAGCCTCTTCTACTGGCAAAGAAGATTTACCAGAATTTAGTTGGTTCTTGTATTTCCAGTTTCATGGAGGTCTTTTCATGTGTTATCACAACTTAAAGGATTCCATTCTTTACTGAAAAGTTGGGATTTCAACTTCAGCTGCAAGTCAGCCAGTGGGAAGATGAGATTCTGTGTTTAATTTTCATCAGCCTGAGCTGTGCAGTGAAGATAAGTCTCTATAAGGGCACACATAAACACTTGTAGATCATGTTTGGTCACTTGAGCTAAAAACTGGAATTCCTGAACTCATCCTTTGTTTGCATCACTTTATCAAGTGATATTAGGAACAATCAGTCTACCTCATTTTACCCAACAGTTTTCCTAAAACATTTGAAATAGTCACCTAGCTCCTTGCCTTTTATAAGTGATTGATTAGGAGTACCCAATGAAAATATTTTATGTATCTCTATTACTAAACCATGCCATGGAATGTCTTTATTACTGGAAAGAGGGTTATTACATCTATATACATATTCCATCTGGAAAGAGGGCTATTAAATAGTTTAATGAGAGTGCCAACTTCAGAATCCCTGAAAAGCAATTCAGAAAATTTATCCTTAACATTTTGTTCCTTTTGAACCACTCTAGATACCAAAATCCATATTAGGGGTTTCTAAAGAAACAGAACCAGTGGGAAATAAATAGAAAAGGTAATTTATTATGAAGAATTTTGGCTCATATGATTTTGAATACTGAGAAGACCCATAATCAGCTATTTTTAGGCTGCAGGCCCAAAAGACAGACACAATTCAGTCCAAGTTCAAGAGCTTAAGAATCAGAAGAGCAGATGGTGCAAATCTCCATCTAAGGGCAGAAAAAGTCCAATGTTGCAAGTTCAAACAGGTAGAAGGGATGAATTCTCTCCACCTCTGCTTTTCTATTTGGGCCTGATTTAGAATCTGCTTTACTCAATCCAGCAATTCAAGTGTTAATCTCATCTGGAAACACAAACACACCCATAAACAATGTTTAGCCATATATCTGGGCACCCCATGATCCTTTCAGGTTTACACATAAAATTAATCATTACACTGGACATGGGAAACCAGTGCATATCTGGCACAACTCATGCCCTGTGTATCTACAATATCCTTTAACATAAACATCCCTTAAAATAGGGTGGGGACTCAAGGAAGTCTGGGTTCCTATTTGTGGATGGAGCTGGATATTGAGACATCTACCTTGTTACAAAGGTTATTTGAGTTCAGCTCACTGAATAGTCCTTTAAATCAGAAGTCATCCAAGTCACCAGTCAAATTCTGTTAGATTTTTAGAAGGTGGCTAGGAATATAGCTCAGGGTAGAGTTCTTGCCTACAATCTTCAAGGCTCTGAGCAATAGAGTAGCTTTTGCGATAGATAGTTTGGACTTCTTGCAGTGCTTTCTCTTATACTAAACTGCTTTCTATTCCTCGTTCATTCCTCACTAACATGTCATATAATGTCATCGATGTAATAGACTAGTGTAATATCTTGTAGAAGGAAAAGGCAATCAAAATTAAGTTAATCTCCTTAGAACAGGCTGTATGATGCTATCACCAAGCATGGCAAAGCTGTTTCCATGGGCTTAGGGAAGCTTCTTTAACTGGCAAAGAAGATTCATCAGAATTTAGCAGGTCATTCTCTCCAGCTTCTTCATTGAAGGCGTTCTACTCATTTCAATGCTTACCAAAGTGTCTGTACCATGTAAAATTTGTACTTAAATACATGTATATGTTTTTTTAAAAAAAAATGTGTATTAAATATATATGCATATATATACAACATATTTATGGATTGCAAGGCCAGCCTAAGAAACTTAGCAAGAACCTCAGCAATTTAGCGAGAACCTGTCTCAAAATAAAGAATAAAATGGACTGGGGATGTAGCTCAGTGGTAGAGCAACTCTGGGTTCAATCCCCAGTACCAAAATTAATTAATTAAATTAAATTAAAAGAAAATGAATGAATAAACTACAGACTAAGGAAAAGCAATTCCAATACAAATTTATATTCAGAAATATTTAAATAATTCTTTCAACTCAATAATTTGAAAAAAAACAATTTTTAAAATGAACAGAAGTTTTTAGTAGACACTTCACTAAGGAAGATATTAGAATAGCCAACAAACACAGTAAAAGAGGCTCAACGTCTAGGAATTTCAAATTAAAACCATATTGAGATACTGTTTCTCACCTAATGGAATAGATAAAATTAAAAACACTAATATGAAAGGAAAAATTTTGACTCTACATTTTAGGCATTTTCAGTTAGACCCGAGACTTAAATTGACATAAGACAAGCACACAAGGACTGGGGACGTGGCTTAGTTGTATATTGCGAGGCCCTGGATTTGATCCCCAGCATCACCACCAAAAAAAAAAAAAAAACAGGAAAAAGAAAAGATATTCATATATATATGAAGATATTCCCCTATATTTTCTTCTAAGCTTGATGGTTAGCTTTTGTACCTTGACAAAGTTAATTTTTAAAATACATATTTAAATATAAACACCAGGGGCTGGGGTTGTAGCTCAGTGGTAGAGCACTTACCTAGCACTGTTACTGCTGTTGACAAGTCCTTGCTTCCCCATAACACCAGAGAAGCATGCCGAGGCAAGGTCAGAGTGGAAAATAGAAGTTTATTAAAGGACAGCAGAAAAGACTTCTCCAGGAGGAAGAAGGGGATCCAAGAGATGGAATCGTGGAAGTGCGGTTGTCTCTCCATTTTATAATTTCTTTCAGTGATGGAATGTAGGTGGGAAGGCCGGAGAAGTGGGACATAGGTGGGCCAAAGAAGTAATCTGGTCAGGAAGGACTTCAGAGTCAGCACCTTCAAGTTTGCTGGGGGCTGTTCACTAACACTTCTTTGGGATGGGCTCTGGCCTTGGGCTTTTTCCTGGACTTCATTAACATTCCATGAGTTGTCCTGCCTTTCCCTGAATTCATTCGCAACATGGGCTCCATTTTAGATCTTACTCGATATTAGACCCAATTTACCTAACTACACTGACTACCTAACTTTAAATCTGGCTTCAGCACCACATCCAAATAAACAAGTAAAATAAAGGTAATGTGTCCATCTACAACTAAAAAAATTAAATTTAAATTTTTTAAAAAAATAAGAATTAAAATTTTTTTTAAAATGTAAACAACAAAAGTTTATGATATGTAGACACTCTGAATGCCTCCTAGAGTTTGCCATGTCCTGTAAATTCTAAAAGAGCAGAATATAAAGACTTAAGTAATTTTTTTTTCAAGCCCAGTTAAAATGGCAATTTTGGTTGCTTTTTAAATTGGCACAGAGCCATAATCCAAAACAGTTGTTCAAAACCTAACTTTTACAATATAATTATTTTGCTTAACTTCTGGAGAATGATTTTGTTGTATAGGTTTTGTGGTGCACTCAAGTGTGGGAATTTCTGGCTAGAACTCCTTAATGCTTGGCTAGATTTAAGGCCACTTCACCTACCATTTTCTCAAACAATAAGAGAGAGGGCCAAAGAATGTTAATGGAAATAACCTGCTGCACTCACACATCCGTGTGCTGTTACCACCAGTGCTTTTTATTATCCCTTGAAATAATTAATTAAAAATCACTTCTGGAAAAGCTTTGGAGAATTTTACAAAACACGTTGTTACAGTAAGACATGACGGTATAACCTATTTTAGGAAAGGAATCATTTACTGGGACTGTGCTTTTAAAAAGCTTGCTTATGCTTTCCTTCTACGACAGAAAATTTCATCAAGCCTGGACAGGAAGTTGTAGGGTTTTGTTTTCTTTTTAATAGCTGTTTCTGCCATATGGTTTTGATAATGGATTCTAGTTTGTCTGGCAATGAAACATGAAACTTCTCATTGGGTATTTTGGAAACTACCACGGGGAATCAGCTGCCAGCTTACTGCTTTGTGGAAAACTGCACGAGATTCCGGGATTGGAATCAAAATGCTAATATAAAAGGTCAAGTGAAGCTGCGCCTCACGTTTTGAGCGTGCCTACTCTTTCTGAAGGCGGAGGAGACAAAGAGCCAGCCGGAGAAGGCAGTTGCTGAGACCTGTTCCGATTGTTTTCCCGAAATAATTTTGGAATCATGCCTGAAATGCCGGAGGACATGGAACAGGTAAGAGTTTGCAATGAGAGAAATTAAGAGTGTGTCTAAAAGCATTCCGGTGAACGCCTGGTACAAGCAGAATGGGTATGTAAAGAAAACAGAAACTGGCGTCATTCATTTCCTTAAAGCATAATCTTAGGACACTGAGTTACTAACCCAGGAAACCTGGTTATGGAGCCCTCAGCTAACATTAATTGACAAAAATAAATGCAAAACATAACAGCAATTTCATATGCCAAATTAAATGCAATGATAAGTAAAGGTTCTATGTAAACAAGGATTTTATTCATGCATTAGCTTTTGTGTGACTTGAATCTGCTAACATTAACTTTTAGTTTTAGGCTGTTCCCTTTGGGTTTGGCCTCCCTGTGAAGTTGCATATTGTCTGTAAAAGGATAGTTAATGCACACAGAACCTATCATTAAAGGAAATGATTAGAAATGGTACCCGAACATATGTCCCTAGAACTGCACCTAGTTTTCCCTTCCCCCCCTCAGTACAGGGGATTGAGCTCAGGGTCTTGGGCTCAACCACTTGCTCTACCACTGGGCTACATCCACAGGCTCTATACCCAGCTTTTACCTGGCAAACATCAAACCAGATTCTTAAATACAGAGAAGTACTTTGTTCCTCACTCAAGTAGGCTCTGAGAATTAAAATGCCAATTACATATGTAAACTCTTGAAATCTCCTAGATGGACCCAGTTTCCCCCCCTCGAGGAAGATTAGATTGCATCACACATTAAAACTAACAACTTTAAACAAAACTCCCACTTTTAAGAAAAGATAATGAAGAAGAGGATCTTGAGTCAGTTCTTTCCTCAGCCGTTTTATCATCTCCTGATTATGCTTGTTTAGTGCCTGGGCAATCCGCACTAGAATTTCCTAAATAATGCTAAATTCTTGAATTCACAAGCACTAAACTGTCTGGATTAAAAAAAAAAAAAAAAGCGGTGGGGGGAGGGTGAAGAATCTCAAGCTGCCTTTGGTTACTGTTCCACAAAAACTTTTGTGTTTACGTGAATAAGGAAGTGAGTTATTTGGGAGGTTGGGAGGAAGGAAAGTCACGGGTCTCTGAGATAGAAAAACTTTCTTGGGGTGTTTGATCTTTAGTTCTACAATAAACCAGGAGGGATCTTAAAAATAAGACCTTTTTAGGGAAATCCAAGCCATGGTCACGTTTGTGGGCAACTTTTAAATCTTTTATTCCGGTGTATGGACTTGCACACTCACAAGGTTCACGGTTCAGTTAAAAGTGGAAGAATCCAAGAACCCTTCGTGCTCGGTGTCGGATTCCCCCCGCCCCCAACAGTTCAGAGGCTTGGCTGACAGGGGTCTTTTGCGATTTAGAACTGGAAGGGAATTCAGTTAAATGCTTGGTCAGTCTCAATCGTGTGTGCTGTTGTTTCTGCTGATTTACTTTTTTTTTTTTTTTTTTTTTTTGGTGGTGCTGGGGATTGAATCCAGGGCCTTGTGCTTGCGGGACAAGCACTGACTTACTTTTAAAAAGCGATACAGGTGGGAAAACGCCCAGCTTCGCCCTCCCCATCCTTCTTCAATCTGCGTTCCCCACCGAAGCTTGGTTCCAAGAGGCTATCGAGGCACTCTAAGCCAATGCTTCTTAAACATTGGCCTGGACTCCTGTTAAAGATACTGAGAAGTCAAGTCCAGGGTCTATTACCAATTTTCATTACTAGTTTTACCAGTTATAATTACTATGGATATGGATATGTTTTGAAGAGATACCCAGATGATTCATCTCGTCTTCCACACCTTATTTTAAAATTGGTGCAAAATTAATTTTTGAAATTTCACAACTATTTTTTTTTCAGGATTCTAGAAAAACAAATGGTTCCTGAGATGTTAATAACTCAGATGCTTGCACTTTTTATTCCAGTCTTTTACTGAATCTCGTAAAGACCACGCCTAATGCCCTAGAGCTATGTCCTTTTGTTGCCTCGCCGGACTTTAAATGTTTTATTCTATTATATGTGTTGCATGTTGTTGATTTTGATGTACTGTGCATGTCCTGCAGACCTGAAATTCTAGGCGATTCAATTCTATCCCTGCCCAGTTAAGAAGAAAAAATAAGTGGAAAGAGAAAATAGAACAATTTCGGGACGGAGGTGGGGGGGGACTTGCATTCACTGCTTAGGTCAGAGTCTTTGTTTTGTGTGTCACTTTAAGATTTGGCGCGTGGGCTGGGAGCGTCCTGCACGGGCCCGCCCCCTTTCTGGAGCGTCCGCGGAGCGTGGCCAATCAGCAGGCGCGACCATGGCGGCGGAAGTCGGAAGCCGCGAGCGGGGTCGGCCTTGGCCTAGGGGAGGCGGGCCGAGGGCGGCTGAGCTGCTGCCCGCGGTAGTCAGGGGTCGGGGAGGTGGCGGCCGCTCCGGCGGCGGCGCGAAGACGGCGGGCATGGTAGGACGGGAGAAAGAGCTCTCCATCCACTTCGTTCCCGGGAGCTGCCGGCTGGTGGAGGTGAGTGGTACTGGAGTCTCCTGTGGGAACCTGGTCGGCGAGGAGTACTGCTGCCTCCGGGGGCTCGGGTACTTTTCTGGTTGCTGCCCTTTAGATTCGCAGCCTCTGGCTGGAGACGCTCTGGAGCCTCTTCCCTAGTCGCGGAGCCGCTGGGGACGCAGCCAGATTTGTTTACTTCTGCGCGAAGCAGTCACTGTCCGCTTTCCCAGCCGCTGCGGCAGGAAGCTCCGAGGTGGAGGTTTTATTTTCGAGTTTTCTGTCCTCCCCTCCTGGGGACCAGGAGGCGGGGCTTGCAGTTATTTCTGTTTTGATTCTTTATTCTTCATCTTATGTTTGTGTTCCTTGATCTTTCAAGTTCATAGCTTTGAGAAAGAAGAGGGGAAGATAGCTTTTCAGAAACATCGGTGTTGGCTGTGACAACTCTGAACTCTTGCTTTGTACAGGCACTTCAGGCTGCGCGCTTAGCATACGTTAATCTTTTGAGATTGTTATTCCCTCATTTTACAGAAGGGAAAACTGAGGCATGGCTGGTGGTTTTACGGTCGAGGGCTTTGAGCCACTGCATTTTGCATGATGGAAAGTGATTAGTGATGTTTCGAAGATCTATCCCTGGCATCCCCTCATCCTCCCCTCCATTCCGTTTTAGGCACCTTAACATTTATCCATGCACAGAATATAGGCAGCACTGAGGATTGGAAGACTGCTAATCCCTGTATCAATATGTTATAGATGTGAGAAAGAATATAGGATATGGCTGTTTTTATTAATGAAACATTTTTGTTTCCAAAATGTATTGTTTTCAACTCACTTTGAGACCAAGGTTTAAGTAGCCCATCTATCAAAACTTTACCAATCTTCCCATGTATCCCAAACTGCTGAGTACCTGTTACCTATTGCTTTGTATACCTGCATACATTTATTTTATGCATGTATTTATTTGTGTGTATATACAGCTTACTTTGTTTTTAAAGTTTAGTAAAGAAATGAAAAATGGCATTTCGTGTTTTCCTCAATTAAAAATGGTACAAGATCTTAGCACCCACTTGTTGCTCTCTCAAAACCTGTAGCAGTAAAATTCACTCCTTCACAAGGACACTTACAGTTGATGTTACAGAAGCAGCTCCTAATGATTCCTATTAAGAATACTATATGTGGGGCTGGGGATGTGGCTCAAGCGGTAGCGGGCTCGCCTGGCATGCGTGCGGCCCGGGTTTGATCCTCAGCACCACATACCAACAAAGATGTTGTGTGCTCCGGGAACTAAAAAATAAATATTAAAAAAATTCTCTCTCTCCTCTCTCACTCTCTTTAAAAAAAAAAAAAGAATACTATATGTGGTCAGACCTATGTAAGTAGTCATGAGATCTTAGTTTCTTAAATTCCAGGGGTGCGTAGGTAAAGGTCCACTTCTGTAGGAACACTGGGAGAATTAATTAAAAATTCATTGTGAAAATTTGCCAAATTTAAAAATTCCTTAAAGTATTAAGATACTAAATTTCTTAACTCCTTTCAGATATTTATATTTCACTTTACTTTTTGAGAAATCACTGCCCCAGAGTATTCTGTTGAGCTATTTGGAAAGAGCCATTCATTTCCCAATATCTGTACAATATGATATCATTTGATTAGATAGCATGAGTACTAGCTCTGTATTTACTTATATGTACTTAATATTTCAAGAAATTTTTGGTGTCTATATACCTGATCACCTGAAGTGGTTGCATTTCATATACCTAAGACTTTGTACAGTATGGCAGATATGTTTAGAGTGACAAACTGGTGTTTGTTTTGTTTTTTTAGAGCTTTGTAGTTATACATGGTAACTGGGTTCATACTGACAAACTTATAAATGCATAGAATTTGGTTTCATTTATAATCCTCCCCTTTTCTCATCTTTCCTCCCTCCCCTCTCCTTTCTATACTAGACTTTCTTTTACTTATTTTTTACTTTTTTAGTTGTAGATAGACACAATACCTTTATTTATTTATTTTATTTTTAATGTAGTGTTGAGGATCGAACTTAGTCATTCACATGTGCAAGAGCTTTACCACTGATCTAGGACCCCAGCCCTGGATCTCCTCCTTCATTGCTGATCTTTCCTTTATCTTTGTGTTGTCCCATTCTTCCCTCCCGCTTTTACTCCAGCCTCCACATATGTGAAAACATTTGACCTTGGAGTTTGAGTTGGGCTTACTTCACTTAGCATGTTATTCTCCATTTTCATGCATTTACCATTAAATGGCTGAGTAGAACTCCTTTGTATGTATACATCACAATTCTTTAATCTGTTCATCTTTTAACAGGCACATTAGCTGATTCCATAATTTAGCTCTTTAAAATTGTGCTGCTATAAACATTGAGGTGGCTGTATTACTGTAGTTTGCCAATTTCAGAACTTTTGGGGAAATACCAGGGAATGGGATAGCTTGGTCATGTGGAGGTTCAATCCTAGTTTTTTGAGAAATTTTCATACAGCTTTCCAGAATCTTGTACTAATCTGCAGTCCCACCAACAGTATACAGGCATACCT